GTGTATAAGAGACAGTATATATACACATATATATATATAAAGCATTTCAATTTACCTTTGCAGCATCCTGTAAGACAGTGACATTTTACAGTTTGGATAAGGGAACTGAATTAGGTATTTCAAATAAGTTGGTGTTTTAAAAGTGGATGTAGGGGTAAATCCAGGAGTCCTGCTGCCCTGTCTTTTTAGCTTACCACATTTCAGTGCACTATATATATCTCAGTTATAAATGCATCTATCCTATACATACAATAATATTCCCTCTCATTGTTCTGACACAAGCCAGTAAAAATTTGACTTTTCTGAAAGCAGAACTGAAGGCTATGACTTCTTTAAGTATAATAAAGGATGAAATAATGAATAATCTATGACAGACTAATTTAAAATGATACTTGCAGCATAGGGCAAAATCTCTCTTACGTTCTCTAGCCCTTTATAATTACTGAGTGGTATGCTAGTGAAGGGCAGCAGTTTTCAACGTTACAACTGCTGGCCTGTAACTGATGCTATTAAAGGGAGCCAGCTTTAATTTTCTGCTGTCTTTCCTTATTATAGGTGATGAAGGTGGTGAGGGAGAAGCAACTTGCATCACATGAAGCAACCTCAATGTTAAAAGTAGGAGAACCCTGGAGAGGATTTGTATCTTAAGGTAACCTTGAGGAACAGCAACTGGTGTGGAGAAAAAGAAAGCTACTGGTCACAGGCTGCCTTAAAAATGTTCTGTTAAGCCTGGTTTCTTCCATCTGAGGAATTCGTTGGAAGAGGTCTGGATAATTTAGGGGTGGTTCTCAAAAGGATCCAAATGTGAGAATGGCTTTAGAGCTTCTCCACTTTGCTTAGGGACATTTTAATGTGCATCTCTTTGGGATAAACTTCATTCATTGACTGATTATGGTATTGCTCATGTCTCAATTCAGAATGGCTTATGAAATGTGCCTGGGAGAATTTAAAGTCAGGCAGTGCTCAAGCACTTTCTGTGTATATTCTGTATGTGTTTAAAGTAGCATAAAGCTATGTTCTAATGACCCTAAACCAAATCTGAATAATCATCAGTTCATCAAATAATTGTATAATTCATTACACTTATTGTATTTGTACTGCTGCAGTGCTTACAGTCCCCAGTAGTTGATCATGGATGTAGAGTGGGGTGCTTTCGAAAGAAAGCAAATCCAGTTCCTGCTCCAGGAAACAAAACAATAGCTAAAAGACAGTTACAGTAATTGGAGAAAGAGGAACAAAACTAAGGAAATGCAGCAGATCCAAGACACCGTGTGCACTGTCATGGTTTTGTGACGCTACAGCAGAGGGAACCACTGCAGGCTTAAGAGCAGGGTGATGCTTAGCATGACAGAATTGCAATATACAGTAGACCCAGCTTATTTCAACTAGAAAAGGGTAAATATGTCCTGCTAGGTTACACTACTGTGGCTTTAGAAGTTGTGTTATCTTGCCTCTGAATCTGGAATCTGTCAAAAGTTTTCCCACGAGCTGCAGATATTCTGGCTGATAGAACTATTGTCAGTAACTTCACTTGAAATTTTTGCTAATTCTGGAAAGGTCATGAGTATGCAGTGCATTGGTTAGACCGGAACATTGGTTTGTGATCTGTGCACAACCACACTGAACAGCCTGTAGGGTCCATCTGTAAATTATCTATCCTCATACTTCTTTTCCTGGGGGACTGTGTGGAGTAGGTGATGCTCTGCATATCATAGTCAGATAAACTCAGACACAACAAACATCTACAACTATAATCAGCTGCAGTGAGAGATTGGCTGCTACTTAATTGGCCTGATTTTAGTGTGCTGTGGTGGCTTTCCATAGCATGTTTGCATCTCCACCTTTGTCTCTAGGAAGTGAATCCAGGACCCCTGAGTTGTAATAGTCAGCGCACCATGTCCTGCATGTCTAGAATAAACCTGGGTTCTGTGACTTCTAAAAGCAAAGACAGAGATTATAGATTAAAGCTAATGTTACTGTGCTTTTAGACCTGCACAAGGCATTGAAACCAAACCTGTTGAGTGACAAAGCAGAAATTCTAAAATAAATAGTAACCCTGAGAACTTCAACAAAAATGTAGCACACTCTGAGTTCACAATCTAAGTTTTTCCTCTTTGTCCAGAGAAAAATGTGAGTGGAAACTTTGTCTGTATACTATGCATTTGGCAGCTGTCCCTTTCTATACACACACACTTTCTTTGTAGATAGATTCTTCCCTGGCACGAGCAATGGAGCCACAACTTTGCTTCACTGTTTATTTATGTATTTTTCTTTTTATTGTTCAGTTCTGTTGGCTTGTGTCAGACAATTCCATGGATGCTCTGGCTTCTGATTTGCCAGGTATTAAAGTTCTCAGTGGAGACAAAGAGACACTTGAAAGTATCTGTTTAACTTGGCCCCCAGCCTGCATACCTCAGAGTGCTGGAGAAAAAGAAATGCAATTAGGGTTTAGATTGGTCACACAATGGGAAATTTTCAGACCCATGTAGACCCCCAGCACATGTTCTTGTTAAGTTTCTGCCCCTGTAGGTGAGGAGCCTGGATATCTGGGAATGACTGCCTATCACTTAAATCATGCTGGTGTTTGAAGAAGGAGTTTTAAATGCTGACATCTCATACTTGCTCCAAAGACAGAAAGCTGATGAGTTAGGTCAGAAGCAAGTTTTGTCTTTAGCTGTCTCACGGCAGACCAAAATGCAATTAAATTTCAGAACTATTCCTTTCATCTAAATGCATTTCCTAAATTAAAGCTATCCAAGGCTCTTAGCATTTTTCCCTTTAATGCTCTATATAACTGACATTTCAATCTACTCCATTCATGCTCAGCAATAGGGAACTGTATATATGCTTGGACTGTATATTGGAAAACAAGACTGCAGCATCCCTTTTCTATTTGTCCTTGAAATCTCATCTGCTACATAGAAACTGCCACACTGAATCAGACATCAGTCTTGCCTCCAGCAGTGGACAGTACTTGATGCTTCAGAGGAAAGCAAAAACCCCTTTATGCTCTGAGCCAACTGTACTACCCTGATAGAAACATTCTCCCTGAGTCCCACCAATAAACATTTTCTGACTGAAGCCATTAGATTTGATTGATCACACAATTATGCAGCTACAGAAGTTAATAATGTTTATGTAATTAAATAATTTCATTAAAAGCTAGCCATTACTTGGTTCAGTGTTTCTCCTGGGTTGGCATTATGCTGCCCCAAAAGGTATTTCCTTACTGATTTTGCCTCTGCCTGACTTCTGAGTGCTGCAGCTGCAGGAGGCGATAAAAGAGATGTTCAGTTTTGATAAATCTGCTCATAACTGTCAATGTCTCATCCCAGTCCCACTTGACTGTTAGTATTCTCATCACAGCACTATGCTGAAGATTAAGCATGTGAATATCATGACGTTCAACTGAAACACATTCGCTCACTGACCCAAGATGGCACATTTTACAGTGACCAACTTGGAAACTTGTTTGTCCTTGAAAGAATGTGTGCCATTTGGGGCAGGATAAGGAGGAAGATGAGAATCTGAACACTGCCATTCCCTGACCTCAAACAGATAATGTGCATGTTTCTGTGGAGTGCTGTTTGGGGAAACATGTTTTGGAGAATGTGGTGGGTTGGCTTCAGCCTTGTTTCATAGGCTGAGAATAGAGTTGGCCAAAGCACCTCTCTTTCAGAAAGATACCTACAAGCTAGGGAGAGGTTTTTTTGGGGTTTTGTTTTTTGGGTTTTTTTTAATGGTTTTTTTTTTAGGGGGGGGGAAGTATGAAAGTGATGAAAGCACTGGAGGAATCAATACTAGAAGATTAGAAGAATGCAAATCTGTAGCAGTAAATCAACTAAGAGTGACATTCAGAATTACCAGCAAATCCTGCTACACTTCAGGCTGTATTTCTGTAGTGTCCCTGAGCCTGGGGCAGTGCTGGGTCTGCTAGATGTGAAACCAAATGAGGTGGAGGAACCTACTTGTGTGGACCCAGTGTTGACAACTGACCTGACAGGTCTGTAAAAAGGACTGTGTCAACCAGCCTGATTATCACAGAGTTTGAGCTCTACGCCACTGCATGCACGTGTCGTGTGTCTGTGTGGGGCCACAATGTAGTAGTAGGTCTCATGACCCAGACACAAGCTTGGATGAGTGTGGTACTGTGGGTAGTGAGAGCCATTAACAGTTTCCATTTTTACTGTGTTATGTCAGATTTCCTGGTATAGATGAAGCTGAAAAATCTAGGAATTAAACTAGATGGAGGAGAAGTTAGCCTGAATATTAAGTAATCTTTCACAATCTCTTTTAAGTTTTTTGGAGAGGTGTCAAAGTTGTTTAGAAGATACCACAGAGGATAATCCTGTAATAGCTAGAAGGCCTAAGTGACCTAATGAGATTTTTTCATCCTACTGTATGAACCAGAGATTTTGGTTAGAGGTGGAAAAATACTGAAATCGTCAAAGAGCTGGGAAATCATTACTGGGGCTGTTTATGTGAGAGCGAGCCAGTTTTTATTAGCCTAAAACTTAAGATCAATGACTTTATGAGGAGCATGGAGAGAGATGACTGTAAGAAAATCACCCTATCCAGTGAGGAACTACAGTATCAAGTACAGCACTTACTCCCATTGGTGTGAAGCAGCTCTTACTCCTTTGCAATTTGCTGCCCAAGTATCTTGCCCTTAATAGGAAAAACTGATGGACTGTTCTGTCCATGTAGAAATCCTGGCCTTGTTCAGAAGCTGTGTTTAGGGAAGGATGAGGAACTGGGCTGAGTGTGGCCAAGTACAGCTGTTTGTCTAATGACCACATCTCATAATAACATGTAGGAGCTTCAGGGCTTTATAACAGTTTTCATAGGTGTCTAATGAGGCACAGAGTAAGAGTGATTAAATTTTTTAAATTTTTCTGCAATGAAAAAAATAAAAGGGTTATTTTTTCTTCTGATAGTTATGACTGATTCACAGTTTGCTTTAATACATCTTAGACAGGGTGCTGTGCAGTAAGAATTTAATCCTGGGTTATTCTCTGGCAGTATCAGTGTATCAGTAGTCTAGGATCAAGAATTCATTGTTTTGAAACACTTCAAAATACAAAGTACAACTAACATAATGAGTAGCTACTCATTCAAAGATACTTATATTTTGGAGAGCTCAAGTCAGGTCCTAGAGCAAGGTGCTGCGTGACACAACAGTAAGTATATTTTGCTAACTCAGTGTGCTCATCATAGAAGAAAAATCTAAAACTAAGTTCTTCTATGGAGCAAACATATTTCTATGCCTCATTTCTCTGATATGGTGCAAAATGATTCCAAACCAATCAGCTGGGTTGCATTTTTGTTGGGCACCTTGCATGTGGTCATGAGTGCCTGATGCTCATGAGCAAAATCAGTTTATTTCAATATTATTGACTGCCCTTAGGCACAGTTTGGCTCTGGCAAAGGCAGAGCCCTCAGTGATGCGATCAGGATGCAGCATCTAGAGCCTAGAGTGCATCAGCTGAGCGAGCCTTAGTCAGCTGATGTCATGGGACTTGGCCAAACCAGATAAGTAGTTTCTGAACAACTGAGGGTAATTGGGGTGGGGAGAGAAGGGAAGGATGGAGGGAGGACAACTGAGCAGATGTCAAACCTATTATAATTTTAAACAATGACTTGATTATAGAGTCTGAGAAAATTTTAAAGCAGTGCTTGGCAGTAGCCTGTTAATATTATGAGATGAAACTTGACACCAGAGTCATCCCATCATTAAACCCCCTCTATGTTGAATGTGCTTCCTTGAATGGTAACTCCAGTGTCATTATCCCAGTCAATATTTCTGTCTCTCATTACAGCTACTGTTGTGACTTTGTACTTCAGCAGTATAAAATGCTTAGAGCTCAGAAATGGTTAGCCTAGTCTAACAGTGGTCCCAGGCCCAGAGTATCAGATTCATCTTCAATAAACTCTTGACGCTGACACTCCATGGTGTGTAGTATTGCCAGATTTTAAGTTTGACAGAGAAATGAATGCAAGATAAATAAACAGCAAGATTTTGGCAAAAATAATGAATGTAGCCACCCTGGTTTAGAAAACATGCTAAGCCTTTGAACAGTTTTGTTTTAGAAAAGAAAGTCTGTTTGAAAAGGATCCAGGGTAAATGTTTTTGATAGAGAGAGAGATACACAATTAACAAGGGTGACTTTATCTCCCCTATTAAACCAGCAGTCTCTTCTGACCTCTCCTAGACTGTTCTATATGATTTTGAGGCTTGTTTTCCAAGTTAGCAGTGCAGGAGCACCAAGGGGTGTCATGTCCTCAAAAGAAAGGGCATTAGGATGCTCTGCAACTATGTTAAAAATGTTATTTGTGCCAATGATAGTCTGCAAGATTAAAAAAAAAAAAGAAGCTGACAAAATAGCTTTCTCAGCTGGACCTCAAACACTCAATGAAGGATTTGGCCAAGAAAAAACACACTTCTGTCCATTCAATGGTACCTAGGGTCCTGGGAATAAGGAGACAACAAACACAGCTTGCTGCAGGGTTTGCTTTTATAGCGGACGTTTGTTAAAATGGTCTTTCGCAGTCTGACTGGCACAGAAAGTATCAGGTATCTTGCAATGAATGGAATCCCTATGGAAGTGTTGACTGTAAATGGGGAGAGCCCCAGATGGTGCAGGTCAGGCAGAGATTCACTGAACCCAGCAGAACTGTGTTACTTCACATTCACTCCCAGTGGGCCTGATAGCAGTTCAGAAGGTTTTCCTGGAAATCTCAAAAGAACAGGCTGTCATGGATTTTTTGTGTTTCTACATCTGGCTGGATGTTGATTTTTCTAATTTTCAGAAGAAAGCCTGGAAGGGTGAGAGAGAAAACCTTTTTCTGCCAACTGTTCATCCAAATAGGAGAAATGCAGTAGGGGAAACAGCAGTCAGAGATGATTGACATAAATCTTTAGAAGGATAAATCCTTCCAGGGAGGCTGTTTGTGTGTGGGTATGTGTTAGATTTGTGTCAATATGACATCATGCAGAAAAGAGAGGTAAATCAGGCCAGGTAAAGCATCATAGTAATGCAATTCCTGACATTTGAGCACCTTTTTTAAGAGCTGGTGCCATTTGGTCTCCATAGCAATGCACTGAGCTGTGCAGAAATCCTCTCAGCATGTGCATAGGATAAAAAAACATGGAACCATATCTAGATCACTCCTAATCCCCCAATAGGTGTAACATCAGGACAGTACTACAGGGGAAATGCTGCTGAACAACATTATTCCTGAAGTCACACATCCAGCAGGATCTGTGGCATTTGAATGCTCCCTGTTAGTGCTGCAAGGCTCTCTAGCCTTCCTTTTGTAACCTTTTCCCTCTAGCTCCTTCTCCTCTCCTGCCTTCAAACATCTAGGAATTTGTGGTTTTAAGGCCTGAAAAGATAAGGCATCTTGTTTTTGTCTCTTGAGTGAAGGAGCTGGCCCCTCTGAAATACTGTTATATTCTGACTATGCACTCTCATGTGAACTCTCCTATATTATGCAGAAATTGCACTGGTTTTTTTCTCATCTATCATTTCTCTTTGATGTAGAAAAATGATTACTTGATATAGAACAAGCAATTGCTCTGGTGGGAAAGATCATAGAGTTTAATACAGAGGAAACTAATAGTAATCTCATCAATAGATTTCAGAGAAAACTAGGCAATCCACTAAAAGTCCAATTAGCTTAAATAACTGAATAGACATGGAATTCCTTGCTACAGAATTGTTTCTTTTTTAATATTTTGGGTAGCTATTCTTTGAAATTCTACAAGTTGACATTTGAATCAGTTGACATTTGAATCAGCAAAAGGGGTTACTATTGTTATACTTTTCTAGGAAGGTGGAGAAGACCAATTTCACTACTAAGTCAAGCTGCCTGTGCCTGATTGCTGCAGAGATATACAGAACTGTGAGCTAACTGTTAGCTAATACCTCCCTTTCTTATTCTGTGATTGTCTGCACCATGAATGGGTAAACATATAGTAAACACTATCGCAGCCTTCATTTGTAAACCAAATATGAACACTGTAATTCATGGGATCATGAAGGTGGTAGGATTAAGGGACTTCTCTGTAGTACTGTCTTCATAGCTATGCTAAAGCAAATGTGGAAATAATGGTTCTGGTAGAAGTACATGCTTTGCAGTGCTTACACTATTCTTTACTATACATGCCTTTTTAACTTTTCTCACTTTCCATCAATTGCAAAGGTGCGAGTGCTTCTGTATGTCTGAAGTTAAACATAGCTTTGTTAGACACTGGTATAATTTTAAGCATTATTTTCTGCATTAATAAACCAAGTTCTTCAAACTCTGTTCCATCAGTAAATGAGAACACTGGAGAGGCAGTCAAGAAACATCTAATGTAGATGTGTATATTCTCATCTCTTTTGCTCCTGTCATTTGCCATGTACAGAATATTCTACCCCAGGAGATAAGATCATGAGCAGGAGACACCATCTTCACTGGAGAGAACTCTCTTGGTTTTCTTGAATGTGATTCAGGATCACAAGGAAACTTGGCATTTTGGAAAAAGAGTTAAATTGATTGACAAGACATTATGTGCTCAAAGCTGATTAAATGAGTTTTCATTTTTATCACCATTTGAACATTCACCAAATCAACATTTTTCAGCCACAGGACTGAAATCCAGATTTGCTTCTCCTTTTAGCTTGTTTAGATAGTCAAACAGTTTTCCTTTTGGAATCAGAAACAAAATTGCAGATTTTGGAAGCATTTTTCTGAACAGGACACTATCTTAAAAAGATATACCAAAAAGTACTCACGCTAGAGCCATGATCCCATAAGGCCAAGAACGGATTTCCAGCCTCTTCGGGCTTTTTATCTCATCTGAGGTCAACACCATCCCACTGTCCGACTCCTGAGTAGCAAAAGAAAGAGAATAGCAGCAAAGTGACAAATGATCATGACAGCACTTTAACTCAGAAATGGCTTCCATGAGGAGAGCATGGAGAACAGTCAGACTAAACCACTGTTAAAGTCAGTAGAGAAGGACAGCCAAGGGGCTAGTTAGAATACCAAATTCTGGCTATCTTATTTTGTGATGATACTGCTTTTAGGCATGTTGATAGAATTTCACCTTATAAAACTCTCTCTAGCTACGGAGCAGACAAAGCAAGGGCAGGAGAATGCAACTTCTTCACGGTGGCCTGTAGAGGTTGGGAATCCCTGTCTATGGTGTTATTAGGGAGAGACTGCCAACAAGGTGGCCATCTATAGGTGTTATATACTTATATTTGTGTACTGGAACTAATGTAGGAGCTACCAGCTGTTCTACGTAATCACAAGATTCCAACAAACAACCTGGATGGCAAATGTTTGCATCAAAACTCTCAATTGTGTGCTATTTAGTAAAGTGCTTAACACATAGATATGTCCAGTTGGTGAATGACATTAAGCTCATTCTTCAGAATATTTTGTTATCAGGGCCTATATTATCATTTTTTGTCAAACTGTTCCTGCTGCTATTTAGCCTGAGAACATTTGCCTTGGTTTTGTGATGATAAAGTTTTTGATATGTATTTTGAAAGAGTACCCTTAAAATGAACATATCAAAAAACAATTTGACATTTTCAAACTTGAAATTGATATTAATCATGACATATGGATACCGTCTAGGTAGGATAACTGAGATATGAATAGACAGAAATTCATAAAGAATATATCCAATAATACCAGCTTGGCTCCTCAGAGAAAAAGTACCCTAAATACCTACTAGAAATACACTATTAGAAGCATTGAAATTTTAAGGAAGTGGAAGTTCAGTATCATTTTGGCAAATTCAAGTGCTTTACAAAGATATATAGTCTAAAAGGCTAGTTATACTTTGTTTATGGATTTTTTAATGAGCTGTCCAATGAAACTGTCTTGATTAGTTTAAAAGTTGAGGTTGTGATTCTACTGCACTTAAAATTGAGTCTCAAGGTTGTAATTAAGATCAAGCTGTTACCGTACTAAGTGCTACACAAGTTCACAGACATGCACAGTCCTTGGTTTAAGTAATTTAAAAAATATTTAGTGTTTGGCGGGGTTCCTTTGCATTTGAAATATTTTATGATGCTGGAAATTTGCATGTCTGTCTGTCAAAACCAAGAAAGCAAAAGACTTCAACATGAGAAGTGAAACTCTAGGAGTCTTTTTTTACCAGTGAAACTGATTGAAACAGAAAAAAATAATCCCAGCAAACAAATAAAAAGCAAAAGCCTTTCTATAAATGCTTTGGTAATTTATCAGTTATTAATAAGATCAGTCTAGAAACTAGTTTTCAAAGTATAAAGTAAAATCCTAACTTAATTAGGTCTGTCAAAACCTTCGTATAATCCAGCTTTTTTCTCTGTTTTTTATCTTGACCATTTCCCCTTAAAATGTGTGGTCTAGAAACAATTTATCTGAGTGCTCCTTTGCATTTTGTATACAGAAGGATTGTTAGAAGACTATCAACAGAGACTACAGATAAGTAGCACAATTGCAGGAAGGTGTGGTAGGGCACTTACAGAATTCCTGGGCAAGTATTTAAAATAATGACCTAATCGGTATTAATGTCTTGGTATTTAAGATAATTTTAGTAACCCAAGTGCAGTTACTTTGTCCAAAAGTAGATCACACCATAATTTTGCTTTAAAAGGTCCTCATTGAAATATCACATTTATTTCTGATCTGTTAATGCATTATTACCCTTTTTTGAAACTTCCTCCTTCATGTAACAACTTTAAAATGCCACGAAGAGGGAACATTTAGGAAAATAATGCTCATACTGGCAGCAGTAATCTCTTACTGATAACTGATCTATCTAATAAATGTCTTTGTGTGATTCAGATGAACAGATTTTTATCCTGCAAGAGGAAAGATGCAGGACCCAGAGAAAATTCTAAGCCTCTAATCCCTAAAATGCTCTGATAAAGGCAGAGAAATTACATCTGGCAAAATACTAGGGAATAATGGGCATCAATTCATACTAGCAAGAGAACAGTTGAGTAATACACTTTATTTGTCAAGGACATGAAATATATCCAGGACAAGTTGTGGCTAGAGACTTGACCCTTCCCAAGGGAGTTCATCTGAGGAATGGCTCTGTCCAAGAGAGTCTTTTGGCTGGACCATGGGGGACAGTTCCCTGACTAGCAGCATAGACAGACTGTCTTGTTTCTATAAAACCGCACACATCTTTCTTTTCTTTGCTGCTTCCAGCCACCTGATGACTGCCTTGTTCCTCTGTTAGGAGGTTTCCTGAGGTCTTCATGCTTCCTGGCTAAAGTTCAATCTGCTTCAAACATGCATGTGTCACAAAGATCCCTCCTTAGTGGCACAGAATTTGTCATTGAGGCAAGTGGTGTGGACTGCACATGGCACTGCAGCTACTGAGTACCTGAACCACAGAGGAAATTAGTTGGGTTTTTGGGGTTTGTTTTTAAAATAAGGAAGAAAAAAACAAAACCCAAAAAACCCCTCCACCTTTGGAACCTGTAATTTCAGAGTAGGACGACAAGCAGAACCATCATTCTGTTACAAAACAAGCTTTTGTTTTCCACCGGAGTAAAAATGAAACCTTTCAACACTCTCCCTCCCTGCAGTGCCATTTAACTAGCAACAAATATGTTCACTTAGGGTGAGGAAAATCCTGGGTTAAAGCCCTCTGTGTGAACCAAGTAAAGCAGGAACTTGAATCTTGTTCTTGTCTATCCAGAACTGAACACCTTCACCAACACCAAGTTATTGGCTGTCTCAGCCAGCCAGAATGTGTTCTGGACATATTTCCTTCAAACAGCTCCATTTCAATGAGCTGCCATTTTCTTATGGTGGAAAAAAACATATTGTAATATGAAATATAAAGCCCCTTGGCCTGATCAAAGCCAGGATAAGCATGCATGAGCTTCTCTTTAAATTATTTGTTTTGCAGGTCCCTCTTTGTTGTCACACAGACGTATGTGTGAGATGCCAGGGCCAAATCTTCTGCTTGATTTAAAGCTTTTTCTTACCAGACAGATTTCAAACGTGCTAATAAGCGTTTCTGGTGCTGGTGACAAGTGATCTGTGAACCTGGTGGAGAAGGATGCGATCACCTCACTTACCTCATGCATCACTTTCTCCTTTTCCACTGGCACCTCATCAAATGTCTTCACACTCAGTGGTCGCTTCTTGCTGTTGTTACTGAAAGCAAGAAAGTTGAGGGGTCAGCATAAAACCCAAGCAGATGTTGCACCAGTTGGTAGCTCAATTAACATCCCTGACACAGCTCAGTTTCCTGGACCAGTTTTCTTTTTTCATCTCTTGTAACTAATAAACAACACCCTGACAAATTTGTCTGTCCAACTCCTTTAAAACAGCCATACTGAGAGAGGAAAACAAACAGTGCCCAGCTATATCAAATCTTTCTTTCCCTCCTGCCCCCATATATATTTTTCTTACCCAGTTTCCACTGCACTCCAGCGATTAACACAGTTGTTCAAGTTTTCTTCCACAGGGCAAGTTTTGGAGTTAGATTCTCCATCGGGGCACAAGGTAATGTTCAGTGGAATATAGTCTTTACCATCCTATATAATTAATAACATAGAAGGTCAAAGAGCAGGTAAAGTTCATTAAAGATGTAAAAGGTTATTATATTCTACAGAGTTTTACACAGAGAAAGGACTAGATTTTATTTTATATTGAATTTCTGATGTTTCTTCAGAGTGATTATAATGTTCTTTACAAATGTGAAAGTTAGAATGTATAGTTTTTCCCAAAATTTACTGTGTAGGAGGCTTTGTATTTGGAAAATGGTACACTTTGGGCAACCTACAATGTAGAATGGCTGAAAATGGTCTCTAATGTTCCAGTACTCATCTGCAGTTACCATGTTTTCTGTTCCAGGCATCTCAGCCTGAGCTATTACTTCACTGATCATTGTAGCAGTTACAAGACTTCTAAATGTCCCTCGCATATGGCACAGCAATGCGATGGTTGTATTGAGGGTGTCAGTATATGTGCATCTGGTTTAAAAGTAGATGGTTTTGCTGACTTTCACAGCAGCATTTCTGATGAGTTTGCAGCAATTTCTTTGTGATCATTACTACATTCCAGATGTGTGGCTGTTCTGCCTCAGTGAATTTCACTGATCTGTACTTCAGGAAAGCAGTCCTCTATATATTGTCATTGCGCTGGCCTCTGGAAATTCCAAGGGACCAGTCTCAGGGAGACCTAAATCCAAGTCTAAGCCATGTGTTTGAGAGAAAGGAGGATGTGGCATGAAGTCACAAAGCCCCTATGGCTGATAAGGCTAAGAGATTTTTGGAACTGGTAAAAGAATATTGCCTATGTATAGACTTTTTGCTTATGTTCAACTTAAGGAGCTGCAGCTTAGGAACAGTCAGTCCTTAAAATGGTAGCCTTAAAGGATTTTATTTCTTGTCCTCATGAGAAATTGACACTGCAAGTTTAATGGAATTCAGTACACATCTTAATAAGCTCTGCATCGTCATTAAACCCCTGCAGTAATCTTCAGAAATGACTCTTCCTTGAAGTCCTAAAATTATTTGCCCAAATTTCCCTTTGCTTGATTTTTTTTTTTTTAATTTTGAGAAGCAGTTAAGTGCTGTATTCCCTTATCATGATTTTTATGTCTCCTTAATTTACTTTGGTTATAGGATAAAACTCACAAGCTCTTCATAATGCAAACTGGGCCCTGTTCAACTTAGCTTCACTAAATTTGTTTACAAACAGGAAGGAGCTGGAGGAGAATATCTGATTTCTTCTTAAATTAAATTGACAGTTACATAACTGGTCTGGTTGTTTTTACTGAAGAAGACAACTGATTTAACTACTATGAAATTAATAATTATGTAATTGACTTTCTGAGCTTTAAACTGCATCACTAAAGCTCCTAAGAGCACTGATGAACATAAGCTCAGAAAATGAGAAAGTTCAGACCAACTACTGGCAGTTTACTATGTTGGAATCTAATTAAAATTGTTTTTGAGATAAAGCACTATTGTTTCTCTAAGGGACAGCTGAGCATTTTTTTAATTAATGAAAGTTTCTGCTTATTATGGATGGATAAACATCTAGTTTTAAAATATAATCCCCTTTGAATAGTTAACATTTTCTTTTCTCATCCCAGGAGTCATTTTCCTTGTGACCTCTGTTATGAAGTCAAATCTAATATTACTGCTCAACACAGACTTTATCTGTGCACACGCATACACATATCCACATACATAAACATCGATATCCACATTTGTTGAAGAAATGTTCGTATTGCTGTACCTGCTGTACATTGGCTTGAAGAAGATCTCCTAAGCGCTCCACAAGCTCAGTGAAAGTAGGCCTCTCTGTGGGTACTCCATGCCAACAATCCAGCATTGTCTGGTAGCTAGATAAAAACCAAGGTATTAAGAAAGGAGAAGGATAGGAGCTTTGCTTCCAACTGTTCCATTCAGCTGCTGCTTGTTTTGGTCATTGTTCAGATAGTTTTGGATTAAGACAGATTCCAATCTCCATGTGCTGAAATTCTACTCTAGTTTCCATGTGGGATGCTTTTCCCTGCTATATTCTTGCCTCAACTGAGCTTCTTACTTTCACCTAACTTAACATTTGACTGCTAGGCCCCACTGATATTGCTGAAATAATTCATAGTTACGTATGCCTAGTTTCTAGTCACAGAATTGGAAATCAAGGCAGATGCAGTAGTCTCCTGAACTGAAATTCATGAACTATAACTGACATAGGGTTAACCTTGTTGGCAAAGGTCAAGCTGACTTGGTCTGTCTTTGGCATTCATCTGTGATATCAGGACACCCAAGATATGCCCAACTGCAACATTTACTGCAAACAAAATATAAAATATATAACTAACATCTGATGAGATCTCCTTCCTCCTCTGCACTTAAATACAAGCTCTTTTGTAATATATAAATGACATGTATCAGCTCTCAGTACAAAGCCGGGAGCTCTTACACTTCTGGAGTAGAGTACTCTGGAGATCTCATCCGGGTTCCTTCTTTGAGCCGTCGGCAGAAGTCCTCATCTATCTGCACTCCAGGGTATGGTGAGGCACCTGGTGGGAGAGATAAAGAAGAGGCTCTAGTAAGGCACAATTCATCTTTCCCAGTCCAGTGAATTAAACGCATATTGGTGATTTCTGCTAAGCGTTCAAGATTACCTAGCATCTGACAGTAGAAGCAGCTAGAGCAAAGAAGGGGTTGCTGTCACTTACTATCTGTGTGGGTTTTTTCGAAAGCTGTTACAGACTCACTCTGGCTCTTTAGAGATTTCAATAACACTGTCTCCGCTGCATTTGTGATATAGCCAGGACCACTCCAAGGTAAAATATGACAGAAGAGAAATAAATTTTATTAGTTTGAGACTTTAAATGATCTCTTTGTCAGTAGTAGAAAAGTTCCAGCTCATTCAATTGGTTACATACTGTTTTCCAAACTGTCAGTCTGCCAATATCCTGCACTAAGTGAATACCCATGAAGTAAATAAGTCCTGCTCATCACTAACTGATTTAGAATCTCTGGCCTCACTGGCCTCAGTAAGTGCAGAGAAAGCTGTAGGCATCTGGCTCCTGCAGAAGGCCATGAGAACCTTGCAGTTCAACCTCAGGTGTGGAATTGTAGTCCTTCTCTCCTGGTTCACCAATTTAGTACTGTATACGTATTATGAAGTCCTACAGGCAAAATTTCCTTGAAAAATTATATTCCAAATTTTTAGCCTTGTTTTCTTTTCTGAGTATCTGTTCAATACTTCTTATTTTCAGGGCCACTCAATTGTTAGTGTGAAACCTGGGAGGACAGTTCATGGCAACTGTAATTGCTTTTGAGAGGTAGGCTTCTGTAAAGGGTCTGGTAGTATTATATCAGCTTGCGCAAAAGTTGGCCTAGCAGTCATCAAAATGGAGGAGTAAGACTTATTTCACTTTCTTGTGTAAATGGTTATCTTCATAGGAATGACTATAATAAAAGTCTGTATGCATTGAATGTGTTCTTTAACTAATGAGTGAATGGGAGCTTTTCAAAGGTTGTGATCTTTGTTGTATGACACCTGCACTTTATGATGCACCATAAATAAGGGGAACAAATATATAACTTGAGAAAGTGCTCTGGCATCTGAGTTATCCCGTCCTCATAGGTAAAATACAAGAGATGTCTACAGTGAAGTTTGAAAGGTTACTGAACCTACTGTGGATAGACCTAAAAGATCTGTAAGCTTTCCTCCCTTCCTTCTTGGCAAAGGCTTCACATGCAGTGCAACTCTTGCCTTTCACATTTTGGCATCCTAGAGGCTGGATGGTGAATTTGGAAAAAATTTAATCAAGTCTTAATGTAGTTGATTGAATGGAATCTGGATCTGTATCCAGCCCTTGGGGAATCTGTGTATGATTTACTGTCTATAACATTCCTGCCTATTTCCCGCATTTTTTTATCTCCATTTTGGAAACACCATCATGTCCTGTGCACTTGGGGGCACAACAAGCACAGTAGAAGTCTTTTGGATAAAAGCTGTGAAGAGAGTGCCAAAATTTGGCTGTTTCCAGAATTATTCTACTCTGTGAATCTGACCGCTTAATCTGCAAAACTATGCACTGGGGAGCAAAGATCCTGGCAGCTTCCTAAGAGGGCATCCCAACACAGCAAATAGGCTCCGATGACATTCAAAGCTCAAGGATGCTTAGCCACAGCCCATCTGAATTCCCTTGATGTGCAAGTATCAGATCACAGTGTTAAGAGTGTTTCCTGGAGTTGTGTAGATTGGAAATAGTCAGTAGCATCATTTCTGCTTTATATCTCAATTTTCCTTCCTAATTTTGTCTTTAGCCTGTTATTGTGATCATAATAACCTGGTAGTTAAATGTTCAGCTCACATGGGATCACCCATTAGCAAAGATCTCAAAACAAGCTTCTATCAACTCACAAGATATCTCTGAATAAACTATAATGTCACTTTCCCACAGTTACACTGACTAAATGATAAGGAGAGGAACAGTCTCTGGGGGCACTGAGTAGCTTGTCCAAGATGCTAAAGTGCTGTCCATGTACATCTCCTGAACTCTCACTAGCTTGTCTTTTCATCTATACAGGCTTATCTTTACAAACTCTTACAAGGTACTGAGGTTTCATGAAAACATCTGCAGCTTCCCCAGTTGATTCCCTGTCCATTTAGCAGCGGCACAGACTCTCAAGAGAAGTGAGCATGTCTTGCTTGATCTAGTTAGCCCTAGATTGTCAATCTACTGGGGCAACACTGAAAACAACCCCCCTCATTAGAGAAGAGAGGGGCTGCGTAGTCTTTTTCATTCATTTCTGACTGCATTATGCAATTGTTGTGCCATCATGGCCCACTGATTTTCATTAGGAGGAGCTGAATGGAGTCATGCCATTGATGAATGGCCATTTTACACTGACCATCCTGATGTGCAAAAGAAACCCTTCAGTTTGCTGAGTATCACTGGCCGGATCTGGCTCATGAGCACAGCAGAGGTGATTGATAAGAATTAGTCTTTTGGGACTGACTAGTCAGCTGGGACTGAGACTTTAAGGGCGACACAGTAGAATTGGATGAGGAGGGATGGGGAATTCCACTTGATCTCACAACTGGAGTTATCTTTCTTTGATTACATCATTGATCATATCTATATCAACTGCAGTATGTTAGTGAGAGCAAGTACAGGAAAGCAAAGAACAATAATTTTTAATTGCAAGATCTTTTGATAGTTTATATTTTGACTGGTGCTGGCCTCCTACAAGGTGAAGGCAGCTCAGATCACAAAAGCAAGGAACTCTTCCTTTTGCACGTCCACTTACCCTTGTACCTCACCTGGACTATGTGATAAACCTAATAACTTCGATTTGGGATGCTGAGACAGCTTGAAAAAATGTAGACTGAAACATGTGGTATAAGGTCTACACATGACATTTTCCTAAGGGGAAATGTCTTCCAAAATGCTCAAAGATGTGGCATGCATTGGATATGGTAGCACTCTTTTGATCTTAATTTTATTTCAGTAAGATGATAAGATGCTGATGTTATACTACCAAGCACTGCTTGTTTACATAATTATCTTTGATTGCTTTTTGAACAGTGCACATTTAAATTTCAGGAGACACCAACATTTTGTAATGTGCCATGTAAGTGATTTCAAGATGTATTAAACACCGCTGGCATTACCTGACGTGAGGTGTGCTGACCTCATTTAAATAATGCAAAGCTCAATGCAAACTCAGCCCCAAATGAAAATTAACAGCCTCTCAAGTCCTGATTTCCCTGTGGAAAATGAATTCAATCTGCCAGCCGTTCTGGGGGAAGCCTATTGTGATTCATTCAGCTTCTGACTCTGAAAGGACCCATGTCCAAACTAAACTGTGCATTTTGCTAATCAGTATCTTTTCCTCTTTAGAGGGCGCTAAGTCTGTGGGACCCGGTAAAAAAAAAAGCAGTTGTAAATGGGAGCCAAAACATACCCTGTAGCAATGACAAATAACTTCCATCCCCTGGCTCTCAATGATCTGTAAAACTTTTATATAAGAGAGTTCAATCAGTGACACAAATCCTTAATTAAATATTTATCGTGTGAGCTGCAGATGTGAGTAGTGCCAATCCACAGACATGCCTGGATGATCTGTATGAAAAACCCTCTTAGAGAAAATGACTGCTTTTGAATCTGTGCCATGGATTGAAGAAAGTAGTTTGTGATCTACGTCATAGCGAGGGCAGAGGCTGCTCTATGGATGGCAGCCCTTGGAGTAATTTAGTAGATTCCTCTGAACTCAGAAGAGGACAGTCTATTGTTCCAAGTAAGCACCTTCATTAAGAAAAGAGACTATCTAAAATTAAAAGAAACCAGACAAATTATTTTTTAAATAGTTAAAATTAGAATTTCACTGGCTATATTTAAATTTTTATTGGTTTTCAGTATTAAAAGCCCAATGATGCAAAGTTCACATCTATTAAACTCTGTCAGGACCTTTGTGAATGATATAAACAGTTTGCCTTCTGCAGTGGTCCTTGCCATTCATCAGTATTCAGTTCATTTGGTCCCTTGGAGATACCCAATGGAGAAACTGTCCCCTCTGAGTGTGTCTCTGCATGCTAATGCTAATACATCTTCTTGAATAATCTATTAGAGCTGGGGCATTGCTGGTGTTTCTGGAGCTTTGTCTTTCTGTCATGTTTCAAAACACATGCAGCAGGTGATGCTGTTACAGAGCCATGGAGGTGTTACACCAAAATAACAAAACTCTAAATAAATGGGACTGAACTCCGGAGAAAGCAGTAACTGCCACTTGTTTTAACCATTTGAGTGTGAACTTTCTGGTTTGCATGCTGATATGAACTAGAGAAAAGTCCAAATGAAAGGCTCAGACTGAAATCAGGTTGTAATCTTTGCAGCCAGCCCTAAATAAAAGATTAGGATAGAAACAGCCCCAGACTTAGCATCCAGATCTTGACTTAGCATCTTGAGCCCAGTTGTTAATTTCAGCTGATCCATGAACCAAAGGTAGTAGAAGATTACAGAGTTTGCTTTAAAATTCAGCAGTTTAAGTTGACAGTGGTTCTTGTTTCCTTTTGTCTGTGAATGCTGATTAAAAAGCCAGAGCTCACATGCCTAAATTCCCTCAGGAAAACAAAACTTGCCAGTCTGCAAGGACAATCTGAGAGCAGCAAAGTCCAACTGTCTGTAACACTGCTTGTCTAAATTTCAGGGCTTTATCTGCTGGACAGTAACCAGATCTCAGCGAGGCTGAGATTTCTAACAGCATTCTAAGATGAAATCTATAGTACATAATGAACACTATTACTATTCTTTCAAAAATGTTGTGGCTTACAAATGATATGGCCAGAAGAGTATGAATTCTACCTGTTTGCTGCCAAAATGACTTACGCAGAGTCTAGCACTGGTTCTCGTATCAACCTTATGGCAGCTGCTGCCAATACCTTTTTCTTACTTAGAAAATCTTACTTTGACTTTGTGGGGAAGATAATCAAGCTGGGATAAAATGTCATGTGGGTGAACTCCCTTGTGTTCTGTGGGCTGTCACGAGCAACATCAGACCACTATGTCAACAGTAGTGGAATCTTCTGCAACCTTTGAGCTGTGTGGTTTCCTGAAGCAGGCTGCTTAGCAGAAAATATGGTTTGACAGGGAAACTTCTTCATTGCTCTCAAAGAAGTATTTCACTCCCAAGCAGCAGACGTTTGTATTATCTCTGTGCTCTCTTGGTTTCAGTTATTACAAATGTTAGGTCCAGCATTTTGTATTTTGGTTTCCCTCCCCCCTCCCTAATATTCACTGTCTTCATGTACTTTGCTAGGTGGAGTTCTTAATGACTTCAGTCCAGTGATTTTATTTTACACCTGATCTGCACTGTGCACTTGTACTAACTGAAATAGAAACATGGCACCATGTTACCACATTTTGTTAAAAGCTTTTCTTAGCAATAGAGCCATAAATTAGGGGGGGAAAGGGTGTTAAACCATTCTTACCTAGAGAAAATATTTCCCATAACAGCACTCCAAAAGACCATACATCACTCTGCGTTGTGTAAATTTTGTCAAAAATAGCTTCTGGAGCCATCCATTTGAGTGGAAGTCTGGCCTAAGAATGCAGAAGACACAACATGTTGCCAGAACTGTTTTTACTGATCTGCCCAAGCCCTAGTGGAATAAAATCTCGAGATTAGCATTTCAAGTTTCTTCCACTTACATCTCCTTTCCGTACATAGTCAGGATCTTTATAAATATCCCTGGCTAGGCCAAAGTCACAGATCTTAACCACGTTGTTCTCTGAAAGAAGGATGTTCCTTGCTGCCAAATCCCGATGAATGCACTGTGAAGGAATGAGGACAAGCAGTATCAGAGGGTCTGCCTGGACAACGAGCTCCTGCTAGAGTTTAAAGCATGAGACCTTCTTTGGAAATGGAAACATAAATGATCTTTTTATGTGAGCACATTAGAGAAGGAAAATATGTGTGGGAATCTGCCACAAATATACTGTCATACAGCAAAGAGAAAACAACTTTGGGAACAAACCAAGTATTACTTTTAGTTTTCTGATTTTTCTATGTGAAACAACTTTCACAGTTATGACGAGATGAAGGTAGTGCCATTTTCCAGTTAATAGTTCTGCGGGAAATTTGAGAGAGGTCAAAAAGCAGCTGCAGCTTCCCATAAGTGTGTGTGAGACTGGGGTAACTGTGCTCCTGATTTCTGTGTGTGCTACCCTGTTAGCTGTGTGGTAAGTGCAAGCTCTCAGTTTTTTGTACTTTGGCATGTGTATTACATTGAATTACTTGAAAAGCAGGCATTCCACAGGCTACAAACATACTTTTTTTGGTATCCAGAGGAGTTGCTAACTCTGTTGATAGTCTCCAACATTGCTGACAAGCTAAATAAATAGCTGGATACTCCCTCTTCATTTTTCAGTAGTACTTTTGTTGACCACACTAGAAGGATTTTTCTCTATGAGAAGCCTGTTCTGCTTTTATTTATGAGACAGTTCCATGAATTGTCTTACAATTTGTATTCACTCCTTCTATCTAAACTCTCATGTTACAGATGCCAGTCCTTGTAGCCAAGAACATGATGGATATTCCTTTACAACTGCTTCAGTGCTACTTATTTCTTAACAACCAGAGCTAATGTGATCTCCAACACTTTAATATAAGAGCAGAAAACAGATTACTCAGGCTCAAAATTATATTTGGATTTCTTCATATCAGATACTCATGATTCCGTTAAAGAAGTTCAGCCCTGACATTTTAATGAGCTCACTTTTCGGGAGGCGAGAAACTCCATGCCTTTTGCCACTTGGAAGCTATAGCAAATCAGATCCTCCAAAGTCAGGGGCCGCTTGTACAGATCCTCAGCATCTAGGAGAGATCACAGACATGGCAAAACAGTAGAGCAACAGCTCTGAACTTTTTTGGCAGTGCTGCCACTTGTATGCTGATGACCCCAGCCCTGTATCTGAGTATCATTACATGAATTCTCTGCTAGGATTACAACTCCATTTTAGGAACCACTGACCTGGCAGGCAGATCAGATGATTTTAAAAGTTTCCTCCAACATTAATCATGTCATTTAGCTATGGGGAAGATAACATCTGGGGATAAAAGTGAGGGAAACTATTTAAGCGAGTGATGAAACTGGGGACAGACTGGCCCCACAAATCTGGTAAAATATTGCTATTACTCCTCTTACACAACAGGAGCAGCTTTTATATGCATACATTATTGCAAATCTCTTTCTGTGAGAAAGTTGGAGTGGGACACAGGCGAGAGAAGGAATTTGCAGTTTCAGGAACAAGTCAAGCTGAGTAAGGGCTTGTAAATTGTGTGACAGTGTGTGTGTGTGTGGCACTAATCAAGTGACAGAAATATTTGCAATAAAAGATCTGGGATTAGGTAGGTTTCTTTTACCTTCTTCATCATCCTCTGAATCGCTGTAACTCTTATCTTCAATAAATCCTGAGCTGGCAGAGCTTCCTGTGCTGGCCACACTCTCAAGGCGCCTCTTGATCAGTTCAGTCAAATCACTGCTGGACTCATCCAGACTTTTCTCTGCTTGGTCAGAGTTTTCCTGGGACTAGAAATGGTATAAAACTGATTTTTTAGCTTTGGATGATGCAATGCCTGGGAATTCAAAATATGTAACAGAATGGCATATGGAGAAAGTGTCCTTGAAGATGAGCTCAAAACATGTTTGAACATGATGTTCCCCGAAGAGCAGAACTAATGAAGCCTGGTTTCCTATTTATTAATACAGTGCCTTCCATTTTACTGATAGCAATATTCCAACATAAAAGTTAGCTGGAAGCTGTACAGGTGAGACTGATAGATGAGCAGAGAGATACTGTAATTCTGTACCTCTTGCTTTCTTAGGAAACCATGCTAAAAATCAAAGTTCAAGGTATGTGCAGGATGTGCGCTGCAATGCATCTGTCTCACCCTGTACTGGGGAGTGAGACATAACCTGTCCCTGCAACTCATGAAAACAATGGTCAGAAAAGAAATTCTGAGTGACTATAACAGGAGAATCTCCTTCTCTTATACAAAGTACCTTATGTACTTTTGTGCCTGTACACAATAGCTATAATAATAATAACAACAACAATAATAGAATCTTCTGGAAGAATAATCTTGGGGAAGCTCCAGTTTCTGGCAGGGCTTAGATCAGAGAGCCCTTTCAATGCTGTATGTTCAAGCGAGGAGGTAGTCCCATCCTCTCCCCATCACTGACTTCCAGCCTCATGTGTCTTCCCCCATTTCCTAGCCCAATTTGTGCTAGCACAAATGTTTGTGTGGATGCAGACAACCATTTGGAAACCAAAATAATCTGGTTCATTTTAACACAGACCATGTTCATGATTCAGTTTGCTGCTGTATACAGCACAGACTTTAGGTTGGCACACAAGAAGGAAGAACACAGAAGATAGGAATGAGCAGATGATGGGTGAGCTACTTTCAGTACTGGGGTGGGGCTGGGCCTAGAAACAAAAATCCTCAAACTGGACTTGTATTTTGGTAGGGTTCACCTTCTAGTTCAGATAATACCAGTTTTTCACTAATACTTGGTTTCCCCCCTTGTGCTGGGTAGTATCTTGCAAGTAATTGCCTCTCTCTCTCAAATGCACTAGATTGCTTGGATATTTGCAACTAATTCTTTAGGTGCCAGAAAGAAGAGGATGGGAATGAGATCCTACAGGGAAAAAATTTCCTTTTCTTGCTCACACAAATTGAAATGTGGTGAGAAAATATAAATACGCAGAAAAAAATTCAGCTTGTGGTCAGTGGTTGTTAATTCTCTGCCTTGTTGACTATGAGAAGCCTGTCATTTTTTTTACCTTGTAGGCAATGAAATCTCCTCGTTTTCCTCTTAGATAGTTGGACAGATTTCCATATTTGCAATATTCTACTATGACCATTAAAGGACCTAAAAAGACAGTGGAAGTCAAATGAGTTTTGAAGCACTACAAAGCATTTAATACTAACTTATCATCACAAATCCTCTTCAAAATAAGTAAATACTGTCATTCCTATTATACAGATGAGGAAATTAGGAAACAGAAGTGGCATTCCAGAAGCACACAATCAGTAGTAGATATGGAGAAAAGGAAATACAGTATTGATCTTAGTTTTCCTCATTAGATGGTTAACAGGTGGTATTTATTCCTTATTTATAAACAAAGAAAAATTCAGAATGATAAATAAGAATATACAGTCCCACATGCTATTAAGGTTGTTTTATGCTATACATAGATCCATAGCATGGAACAGTCTTAATTTTTCTCTGCTGATCTCACAGTTGTTTGTCTTGGGTGGAGCTGATGCCACTACAGGCAATAAAAGTATGCACAATCATAGATATAAATTAAAAGTTCCAAAAATATTTAGTCTGAAGTTTTTGAAAGCTTGGAAAGTCCTATCACTTTTTTCCTTTCTTATTTCTGTGCAAACTACTGTAGAGTTCAGTACAATTGCTGCTTTTATACAATTATGAATATTTTTAAGATCTGCTTGAAAATGCTTTTATGTTTCAGTGTGAGCTATTAGGAAAGGAAAAAGCTACATTCTCTATCTTTAGCATAATCACTGCTTTTTGTGATCATCAAATGTTCATCAAATGTAAGATAAGGTGAAATCATGGGACTAGAATGCATACAAACTTGTATCCTAAGCGACCAGACTTTCATGTCCAGAAACTTTTTTCTGTCTAGAAGGTCCGTAGTTCAGACTTAGGAGTTTGAACTTCAAAGGAAAAGTACTGAGAACTGCACTGGGCCACTCAGGAAGGACGCAGCTTCTCTCTGGCTATATCAGAAATGTGCACACAGACTTGTACTGCAGTCTGTCCCCTTGATCCAGTCCGAAGTGTAAAATACTGAGTGAAAAGGATGAGAGCAGGGCTGTCGGGGAGAACGGATAGGTTGGAGACAGAAGAGTGAACCTTAGAGATTTTGACTGCTGCATCCTGTCTGAGGCCAGGTGAGAAATACTGTTTGGAAGCAGATTGTCTCATTAAAAGGGAGCTGGTGAATCCTAGCAATAATAACCAATAGCTTGCTGATAATAACATTGTATAGTTTTGCCAGGCTCTTTATTTGTACAAGTCCTGTAGCACTGCTAGATTCAATACACAACTTCAGGCTGTTCAGGTCTCCCAGTTCCTTTTGACTACGGCTCCAACATGTTCAGCACCTGAGTACACTGCACCAGTGATTGCAAAAACACAACTGGACCAAAATCAGAGCTGTCAGTGGTTCTCCTGCTAACCACACAACACTGCTCACTTGGGCTGGAAGGCAGCAGTGCTGGGATCTGGCAGTGCACAAGAGATCTCTGGGGGACGTTGTTCTGAAGAACGGAAAGTTGAATGTCGCTCATGGATGATTTGAGGAAATGCAGATTCCAGTACAGCCTCAAGGCTCCAGTTAGTGACTTACTCAAGTTTTTGAAATTCTTCCTAGGCATGGGTTCTCCGTATTTTACTTCCTCATTGTAAAGCATATGCTATGCGTTAGTTCGAACTACTTAACATGAGATACTCAGCCAAGGTGCTAAAACACTGTTATATGGTATTATTATTATATGGTTATCAGGAATAGCATTATATGGTTACATAAAAAATAACAAGGAAGGAGAAAGCTCTGTATTCTGAAGTGGCATTTTAATAGTAATTCTTATCCCAGTGTCTGTCTTGAGAGCTGAAGGCTATTTTTCTTTAGTCTGCAGCTGCATTGCTCAAAGGTAAACAAACCAGCGCCTCAGTGCCCTGCAAGGCCGTGCTGCACTGCTCTGCCCTGTCCACTGCTCCCCAGAGCAGTCAGTGGTTTTCCCAAGCAGCTAGCAGGGAAGAGTGAGGGTTTCTTCTTTACCCAGGAGGGCAGTCAGGATGGAGCAGGATGGAAAATGAGAAACCAACTTTCTATGTAACTAGAGCTCAGGGGCTGAATTAGTGCTTTGGTTAAAAACTATTGACATCTTAGTAATGCTGCCATGTTTTAGGCACCTGCTTGTGTTAAGCCACCTCATTTACTTGACAGGAAAGGAGAATCACTAGCATGCATAATGTTACTTTTCCTGTGTTCACAGTTCCAAGCAAAGGCTACTTGCTTATGCATCTGAATCTTAAAATCCTCCAGCTAAAGCTGGCCATCTTCCCATACAAGCTTTTGGGTTCTGTAGTGCTACAATTCCTGCAGGTTCCCTGTTCACAGCTCCCAGATTACAGCAGTATCTGTGATTGCTGGTTGCCAACTGCACCTTGAGGAACTGGGAGTATCTTCCTAGATGGAAGATTTCTTTCCTGGCATCCTACCAAATCTACCTCACTGAAGTTTTCTTTTTTCCCCCATGACTGGACAAATACATGTTCTTTGGGAAAGTGATAGCTTCAGAATCTCAGATGACAACAAAAGTGTGCACCATCTCTCTTGCTCTTTCCCCTTCATTTATTTTACTCAGGGGTTTTTGTCCTTAGCTCTCCTAAATCCATCCTTCGGGAATTGTTTGAAGGTTCATTGTAAGCAGTAAAGAGGCATCTCTGAGAGTTGTTACCCTGAAGTTAAAGCACAGTATAGTAAACAGACAAGGATGCTTTGTATAGCGGTATGGGAAGGGATGCTTTAGTGACAAAGGTCTAAGATTTATGGGGTCCTTTGTTTAAGTTTGCACTTTGCAACAGATTCTTTGTATGATGTACAGGCAGTTGTGTCAGCTCAACCCCTTGGAAGTCCATGTTGTTGCTCTATTCAGCTTTGGACTGCCTCAGGCTTCCTGTATACTACACAAAATATGTCTGCATTTGCCTGGCAAGAGTGAAGTGCTTGGGAAAGGAGGAGACCTCAAGTAGCTAAGTGATCGGCCTGGTGCATCCTCCTGATAAGGCAGGGAAGAAGAGGGAGAAGAACCTTTGAAAGGATCAGTTGTGCCTGTGTGGAGGAATTTGGCACCTAATTGTAATTCAGGATCCTGCCTCCCTTCAGTCCATATTTCCTTTTGTAATCAAGCCTACAAAGGACAGAGAAAAAGAAAATAGGCAAGTGACACCACTGGCTGGGAGAAGATGTTCAGAAACCACTGATGACATGTGGCCATATTCTGCAGTAGCAGAAGCTCTCCTATGAAATGTTTTTTGTTTGCATTAACTGCGTGTGCATGAGACTTGGACTCCACCATAGATACATCCAAAACACCACTGTATCTGAAAAGTGTTTCTTCTTTGCTCCTTATTTACTGAGGAATTCTTACCTCCAGCTTTGGTGCAGGCTCCCAGCAGGTTGACTACATTCAGATGATGTCCTATATGGATGAGGATCTTCAGTTCAGACATTAAAGCCTTACATTCATTAGTAGTTGCACATTCTGCTTAAGATAAACAGGAAAAATATCATCTTTACACAACAGGATATTTTTAACAGGACACAGCAAGATCCTGTTTATACTTGGAAACCAAAACCACCCAGGTTACTTGCAGTATCTTTGCTTTTCAGACTCTTAAACAGATAATAATTCATCCGTTTCATTGTCTGTTGACCTTTATGAAGTGGAATAACACTTTATCTTTTGGGTGACTCTTCCTTTCTCTAGCATGGGTTATGGAAGGTAACTGTCCCGTAGGAGAACCCTCCCCCCAAATCAGATACCAGAGAGCCTTTGCAAGGACTGAATTTTACAAGCTTAGCAAAGGAACAACCAACAACTCCAAGCAATGATAGCACACAGAAGAGCGTGTTCCTCCATCTACAATGGTGATGTGCACGTTAGTAGTAATTCTTTACAATACCTCAGAATATATTTTTCCACAGTACTGAGTGACTTTCCACTGCAGGTGATGGAGGAATCCAACACATCTTTAAGCTGGGTCCCAAAATGTACTGGAGAATGTACAGCATTACTAAATCTCAGCCCTGTGAGATCTCATCAACCTGAGAAATACATTTTCCAGCAAAGCAGAAGGGGCCATATCTGTGTGTGAACCATGAACTTGACACTTGATAAAGCTCTGGCTAGCCAGTTATACTGTATTTTCATTCTCTTTTGCTGCCAAAGCTAAGGAAGGCACACTCAGACCAGAACGTTGTTCAGCTGTTGGCTTGTTTCCTCTGCCTTTCCAGAACTTTCATGATGTATTTTAATAAAAGGGGCCATGCCCTGTTTCCTCTGGTTTTGCCTTTGCATCACATAAGATTTAAATATGAAGAAACAGTTATATAAGATACCATTTCATGTGACAAATGTAACCTCTTTATCTGTTCACAGATTTTTCCATAAAACAATCTTTCACCAAGTTGTGTCATAAAGAAGGAGCTATTCCAAGCCCAGGATTTCTTCAGCCAACAATGTTTGTAGATGGGTGTGTACATGTGTGATATTACTCCTGGTTTACGCTGGCATGAGCTGGAGCATGTCTGGCAAAATCTAAACAGAACAGCCCCAGAAGTGTTTCAGATAATCTTACATATTAAATTTTAGCCTTCAACCCAGAACTGATACCAGCCTACTTCATGGAAATGACAGATAATGCTAGAATTACAGAAATTTAGACACTTCCAGAGCTTTTTTTTTTTTTTTTCCCCTGAATGGATTGACTCACACTAGAGAATCTGCTTTATTCAGGCAGGCGATGAATTATGGGCTTGTTAGTTGGGGAGGGACAGGTTAGGGCAGGAGTCTGCTGTCTCCACTGGGGAAGGAAGGTGTAAAATGATGGAGAAACTGTCAAATAGTTTGCTGAATATGTGCAGGCAGGTTAGAGTTGACATTATGATCAGTTGGGAAGCACAGTGTTGAAATGAATGAAAACCCAGAGCTATCCAGGGCAGTAAGTTTCAGATGGAGAAGGGAGTGTGTCTGGATTGGGGGCTTCTAGGATATTTCAGGGATCTGGAGATGGGCATGAAACAGAAGAAAGAGCAGGAGAGAAGATGATCTGAAGATCTACTAATGCAGAGAAGGGAGACCAGATTTGGAGGAGGTCAAGACAGGTGATAAACTGATGTCTTTGAAACTTCAGAGAAATGAGAAGTAGCAGAGCATCAGGAGAGGCAGCTAGCAAGAAAAGCCAAATACCATGATAGAATTTCCTGAATCATGGCATTGCAGGGGTTAATACTGTCATGCAGCAGCAATGCAGAACAATGTGGGCTATGAAAAGCCATCCAGTGAGCATTGATTGTACCTTTGAAAATATCCTAAATGAACAGTTGAAGACCTCCAACCCAATGTACTGGCTGATGCATTTATTCATAAGCTGCCTTCAGAGGCTTTATATGTAAATATAATATTAAAGAATAGTCTCCAAGTTCCCCCCTTCCCCACCATTGAATGGTAAAAGCTTTCCTTAATTTCAATAATTGCAAGCAAGTTGTCTCTAATTCACTCCCTTGGCATTGCTTCTTTTTCAACCCCTTGAACTGTTCTACATCTGGAAAGGCTGTGATCGAAGGCTTAGATCCAATTTCAGAATATCTAATGTAATTACATTCTGTAATCTGTTTCCCTCCTAACCCCACAGACCTGGAAGCTGCTGTTTTCCCTCCTTTAGGAATACAAGACTTAATCAGCAGCACAGCATGGAGCCCGCTTGTCATTTCCTACATGTTAACATCCACTGTATAATGACTAATTGCTCCCACATGACAAACCCACTCCCTTCTGAACACAATGAACTTGGGACTGGTTCGGAGCTGAGAACTGGAAACCTCATTGCCCCCAGGTTCCCTGAGGAGTCTTGTGAGAATCTCAGAGGGATATGTACCTTTAAGCATTTTTACGGCAACTGTTTTGCAGGTTGAAGATTTATCAATGCCAAAAGCAGACGCCTCCACCACCTTCCCAAAAGCACCATGACCCAGTGTTTTACCTAGAGAAGCAAGAGTCAAGAATGAGCCAAAGGGGACTTATGACAGTCTGCATCAGATAAGAGGGAAACATGCATTCTCAGCTATGCAAGAAATACAAGACTCCAGTGCCCAGGCACAACGTAGACGTAGACCGATAGTCAATAGAAGCCTGTATCACATATTTGCAGTATATGGGTATAAATAGTATGATTTATATCCATATGACTTTAATGCAATACAGTATGTGATAGAACAGAGTAGAATAAATAAATCTGCATTCAGCTGAAGGCAAGGCTGAATACATATATATGGCTTCAGGGTAAAAACATTACATATAGCTGTCCTGAAGCCCAGAAAAGTCAGAGTTTGGGTTAAGCATAGTATTGTGGAACCCTGATGTCTCATGAATCACAGTCATGGAGATAGCCAGCAATGGCACTCAGGCAGTCAGAACCTTTTAACCCTTCAGTTATTGACATTTATTTGATTTAAAAGCTATACTAAATGGAATTTAGGATTATAGTCTTTCTTTATTTTCACTTTCCCTTGTGTTTTCATGCCTGTATTACCTAGTGTGCCCTGAGGGCTCTGACCCACATTGCATCAGAGTGCACTGGGCATTATGGTCTGGCTTTTTTTGTTCTGCTAGTTTGACCCCATGTCCCACCATCGTCTAATTTTTTTGTTATTTTTTTCTCTTTTTCTCCTTCTTCCATGATTTCCAGCTAAAGCACCAAGAGCATACACAAATACAGATATATTCCCTACACTCATCATTGCACACAGATGTTGTGGTTTCTCTATGCAAACACAACCTGCTTTTTACATTTTCTTATTCCATCATCCAGTGAGCTGAGCTGTTGAATGAAATTTGGTTAATTTTTTCATGATAGCTCTTTACAACTCAATGCTAAGTTCAAATGATTGACAAGGAATTGATTATTTGCTAGTTTTCCTCAAGATAAAATTCAGTGAAAGACTGTCCCCTTTCAGATATACTTCTATTTCACTTTTCTATGGGTATGAAACCATACTTTTGGCAGGGACCATACCTGGAGATACCTTTCTTCCCTGTAAAGAGTTTGGCTTCATTTCTCCAAGAAAGAAAAACAGGTGGTAGCTATTTTTAGAGAGAGAATATTTTTGCTTTGCTTACCAAATCCTTTGCTTCACCCCCCATTAAGGATGATCCCGAATTCTGTGACTTGCTGCCAATTCTCCCCAAGCATGGTAATACACTGGTACTAAATGACAGGCTGCTTCTTAGGTTATACAACACATCCACTGAAATTGAGGAGCATTAGAAATCACCATTCTTTACAACATTAATAGCCAAACCACTCACCCAGCCGCAGTCTGTCTCTTGGGAACTCCCATTTACTGCTGTCATAGGGAAGACGGTCACACTGCTCGTCAAGAGGCATTTCCTCTGGATCCATTATAATTGACAGGTATCCTGTTTTAATATCTGTGGCATCAGGCTGAAAACAGGGTGTGGAGAAATTATTCACAGTATTTACCCTGCAATTCCAATGGGAGAGAGCTGTCGTCTACTAGACTGAGTGCTGGCTGGGGAGTTCCCTGAATTCCAGACTTAGCTCTGAAATTTATTCTGAACCATGAGTACATCACTTCAGCTTCCTGCTTCTCTTTTTTTTGTATCTGAGAAATAAATGTTTATGTATGCCTGCCACTCATAGGTATTGGGAAGAGTCACTGATTAATGTTGTTAAACACTCTGAGGACACAAAATCTATCAGTGTCTTCTACCTACATCTATTAAAGGAAAACAGTGCTTTTCTATCGGAACTCCACAAGCTGCACTTCCTGGTGCTCTATGGAACATTTTGGTATTTTCATAGTATTTTGTATTGCGGGCTTGATTCTCCAAAGTTATCCACTTCATGGCTGTTGCTTATTATAATTTAAAATTAAAGCTGGTGAAAACTACTACTTCTAATGCTGGTCAGTGAGAAACTGTGATTTGGTGGGTCCTGTGAGCAGACTTGCATGGGTGTGAACTGTAACAGGAAATTCACTGTTGTCCACAACTCTGTTAAACTGAGGTCAAGGAGGAAAACAATAATCACTGTTTTTGCAATAGCAGGGGAAATTTAGGGATCAGCACTGAAACTGTAGTTTGGTGAGCTTCAGAGCAGAGAGTTGTGGTTGCCTTTTTGTTTACTGTTTGTTTTAGGAAAAACAGACCTAAATTCCTTGGAACTTTTACTAAGACTTTACTTTTTTGAGTCACAAAAAGGAGATGAAAGAATAGCCAGAGTTGGAGACAAAATAAGCTGTGTGGTTTGAGCTCATTTCTAGAGCAAAGATCCTAGGATCCTTCTTAAAACAGGGCCCCCTTTAATACCTGTGTTTGAGAGAAATCGTATTGGACAAGTGCTGAAATCAAGCCCTCATTTTTGGTGATTTAGGGTTTTTTTTTGTTTCCTAATGTTGCAAGCCAGTTTGATTCATAAAGAGGGAGGAGCCTGATTTTATGATACCATGGAAGTGGATAGAAAACGTGCACAAGTGCAAGGGATCTTTCAAGAAGTCAAAGGACTATCAGCAGAAATCTTGGACTGAAGTTTTATAGAAATATTTTGCACGCTTTTGTACTGTACCATCTGTCCCAAGCATTCATGCCCTAAACTCTGATACCACACATAAAAACTGGGCCCAGTCCCAGAACCTCTGAGCAATATTGAAGCTCTCTTACTTTTCTCAGTTTCCGAATGAATAGGGTCAGAAGAAGCCAGAAGAGGGTAGCGGCTAGACCAGTGCAGACCAAAATGATAACTTCAATGTTGGATTTCTCCTCAAAACCTGTAGATTAAATGTACAATCCAATTTTAAATGTAGCTGAAGTCCATGACTGAACAATAGTTCTCCTCAGTCCAACACAATATATGCGTTTTGCCTTGGCTTGGACCTCACCTTGTATTTTAATGAAGGCTGATGTGCTGTCTTGGCCCATGTCGTTGGATGCTTTGCATTCATAGAGCCCTTCATCATCCTTTTTCACTCGTTCAATGACCAGGGTATTATTCTCCATGGAAATTCCTGTTGTAAGGGATTTTGGTTAATTTTATCACAATAACCTACCTGCCTCCAAGTGCTTTTAGGAGACAGAGAACTGAAAGTCAGCTCCCATCCATGCAGGCCTGGTATGCACTGTTATTAGGAGACAGTTTTTAATACTATGCTCTTCATTGTGGTCTGACAACAACCTTTCCCTGACGTTTTTTTCTCCTCAATACTTGTGTAAATTGCTTGGGGATCATTTATCCAACAGCAAATGTGGCTATTAATTTATTATAAGCAGACAGAGCCTGGGAAAACTTCTATGGAAGTTAGTGAAGTGATGGGAAGATATGTTTTCTGATAGCAATAAGATACACTGGAAAAAAAGAGAACTCAGTGAAATTATTGAAGAAAGCTGATGCCTTGGAGGCTGTGGGAAGTGATGGGAGTTCCAACATGTGCAACATGGAAATCAGTTTATGCACATCCCTGGAAAAAGCACTGCGTGGAACAATCCTAGATTCACAGGCAGCTGGGGATTAGAGGTGGAGCAAGAAGGAGGTTGCCTAGGTATGATCTATGTGAGGCTTTTCTACATTTAGTTTTCCTGATTAACTTTCCAAATCGAATTTTTCCTGATTTGTGGCACAAAACTGAGAGCTCATCTGTTTCACTAAAGATATGTTTGGTGCAGAAATAGGGAAAGAGGTCAGGCTTTGAATGCAAAAGGGAAGGACATTTTGAGTTTCTGGGTGTTCTGCCTATGAATCCTGTTGTTAACAAGAGTACTGCACATAACTTGCCATGCACTGTGCTGAAATATTTACCCTGAGGTGTTTTTTCCAAATAGTTTATTTATGTTTCCACTGGTTGGATGATTTACATGCTTGTCCCTTTAGAATTATTTATAAATTTTCAGTAGCTATAAAGAGTTTCTCTCAGAACAGTCTGATCTGAATTATGGATGATCCTAGATTTCCTACCTAGTTCAAGATGCAAAATTAAAGTCACAGGACTAGCTACTGACATGGGATTCTCTGTCGTTTATAGGAGATCTCACAACAGAGAGCAGCGAAGGAATTCCAGGCTCGGGTAAGGGAGCTCATGCTCCCTGCCCATGGTAGCACTGTACCTGTACCAGGTGATCTGAGACCACATTCTCATTATTATGTGGTGGGAGATAAAGAACGGATGTGTAATATGCCATGGCATGCCCTGGACCTGACTGTTAGGTGACTGCCCACAATTTGCTGCAATATATTCTGGTCAGGCCCCAAGGATATCTGACAGTTCAGGTGTGTGTTTTCAGACCCACCTGACAAGCAGGTACACTCTCTGTCTCAGTTTTGTACACAAACTCTTGTCTCACACAAGCAGACTGAACAGCAGCACTCTGTACTCCTTGATTTACTAATGCTGTGCCAAGTATGCAGCTTATCTGCTTGACTCTGGAGACACAAACACTGCCACATGCGGAAGGCAAGCTGCATAAGGCATTGCATTGCAACTGGTTGGCAGCTTTGAACTCAGAGTCCAAGCTGGAGACTATTGCAGTGGTGTGATGTATTTGGATTTGTGTATGTGTTTCCTGAGGTCGTGTATACCATCCTGACTCAACCGTGCTTGCAGTAGCTGTGAAGTTGTAGGTCTTATGTTTGTGGTGAACCTGCAAGTCCATTATCCTGTGTAACGTACAATACTGGGACATGCTGGGGAAGCAAGTACACTCACCTGATGCTGCTGAAATGGGGTAGCCATTCTTCCTCCATGTAATCTGAGGTTCTGGTGTTCCACTGACTTTGCACTCCAGAATGATCTTGCCACTGATGTTAACCTCCAGATCTGTGAGGTTTTGTATCACGTACGGTGCTGCCTTTGCTACAGTCACAAAGGAAAATAGTACACAGTAAGATTTCAGAAGGCACCTCCCTCAGCTCTGCCATCTTCTCTCTTTTGTCCACCTGCATGGCCTCTCTGGGCAGGAAATGACAAACATTTGGTTGATGAGTGGTAGCAAAATCCCCCAAAAGATTGTGGGAGGAGCGGGTGAGGTTTATGGCTTATTTTCAAACTGTCAAAGCTTAGATTCTGCTTCAGATCGAACCTCCCTGAGTTTTTCATCCTCTGAAGAAAACAGAGGACAGTGAGTGGGTAGAGCAAATTCAGAGTGAATACAGAAAAAGAAAGGAGGAAGCAAAGAGGAAACAGTTCTAAGGATTTTGTGTCCTCCATCATGAGTGCAGTTATCTACTTACTACAAAGCATGTTTATCTCCACTTTATGTTCATTTATAAAAGGTACAGGAAAGCAACAAATAATATCACAAGCACAGGATAAAAAATAAATAAAACCCACAATAAGGACTGTAGCTGGATGGGTGTTAGTACATTTAAAAGACCTTGTTTGTATAGGGAAAGGAGGGCTGGTTTGGAGGGGCATTTCCGTGCATGTTCTCCAAAAGAATTGCCTCTGACCATGCCAGGCCAATAACAGACCCGAGTAATTTTCAGAAGAATGTGACCAAGATTCCAGTTCTCCCATGGATGCATTCCCAGTTTAGCTGTGTTTTTCCCATAGCCATCATGTGTAGGTGTCTGTGTAGGCGGAAATTTGACTAAATGAATAAAAGTATCTGTCAGGGGAGAGAAAAGTGAATTGCCTGAATGTAGAGTGCAGAGAAAGCCCAGTGCCTCGATGTCAGATGATGCTGACAGGTGGCTCCGGTGCTGACTGTGGGGACAAGCCAAACCACTAGCACTCTGTAATACCAGGGTGAGATTCTTTCCCTTCCTCCGCACTTTGGGAAGAGGCAGGTGCTCATGACATTTCTTAAAATAAATCACCTCCCACTCAGGTATCAGAGCTGTGCTAGCCACAGCTGTGGTGTGGGTGAGCATTTTCTCCTTGCGTGTGTGCCTGCATGGAGGGGGAAGGGCCTCTGAGAGTGTTGTTGCCTGCATGGGGTAGGAGACTCCATGGGAATGTGCTCGTTCACTTAAACGAGGATGAGGCCAGTGCTTCATGGCTTGTTTTTTACCAAAGTGACAAGTGCTTACAGCAGCATAGCCGTCCCTTCCGTGTCTCATTAGCAATTAATGTAAGTGGAGAAGCTAATCTGAAAATCACTGTCTAATTTGGCTTCTGAAAGACTGTCTTCTGCACCCTAGCTTGCTGCTGTTTATTGCAATTCAACTGCATTTCTGTGCTTTGGGTTTTTCTTCACAGGCTAATAAATTTGCCTGTTCCAGCAGCACTTTTGCTTCTGAGAAGGCTTAGAGCTGATCACTCACATTCTTCACTGTGAAGCAGAAGAAACTTCACTAATTTTCAATGAGTTTCCACTGGAAAAAGTGTCCTGCCCTTTATATTCACACAGCCAAAGAAACCAGGCATCAGCATCTGTAGTGTTACTATTTGTATGAAAACAAAGAGTTGGGGAATTGGGTATAAGTAAGAAAATACTGTTATTACAACAAAGCGAATCCCACTTACCCGGAATAAATGGCACATGTCACTTGATTATACACGTGACCTTCTTATGCACTTAATCGCATTTGTGATTACACCTGCTGCGTCCTAATCTATTTAGGTATCATCCTAGCAGCTGCAAGTGGGTGGAGTTTTCTACCAAAATCATATAGATCTGGGGTGACAGTCCCAAATGGTAAGAGTTGTGCTGTTAGTAACATGGTGGGTGATGCCTTTTCTCCTCAGTCAACACTATATCTGCACCCAGCATGGCGTTAGAAAGATAAAATGTAGCTGAAATCACCTTTATGTGTAAGGCAAATGTTTTATAAAAAACCCAGCAGTGGCTGGATGAGTAATATGTATGGCTAGGTGTCAATCTGCATACAACAATGCAAAAAACCCCTTAAACCAGAGCACAAGGTCTGTATTAGGACGGTCCCTAAGAAATGCTGGGCACCTTCTGCTTTGAAAGGCTTCAAAGGGAGCAGCCAGATGCGCAGCATTTCTGCTCCAGTAGCAGAACGACAGCATGTCCCACTGCCATTTTCCATTGGCAGGACCCACCTCTGACAAGGAGCTGAGTGAGCTGTTCTAGTGTGTCGGTGCTGTTGTGCTGGTTCTGGGCTCTGCACTTGTAGAGGCCACTCTGTTCCTTTGTGACATTAGTAATGACCAGTGTCAAAGAAATGGAATAGTTGTCAATTTTCTTAATCACTGAGTCACTGAGAGCCACCCCTGAGGAAGGGTAGTACCAGTCCAGGTGATTGTAGATGTACTTGGAGGCCCGGCAGGTCAGCTGGACGTCATTCCCCACGATGGTTGTGACTTGTGGCTCTGTTTTCAAGCCAAACGGCACATCTAGGAGGAAGAGAAAACATGTCTGCAATTAAGACACAACTGAGACAATCTTTGGCTGTCCGTCCGCAACTTGATGGTCAAATTTCAAAGACCAGCCATAATGGAATGAGCCAATTTTAATGAGACCCACATTTGCATGTGTAAATAGGCACTGGTGCTTGTGAATTAAGTAACTGAATGTACCTCTCATATCCCAGTGCTGACCTGTAGTAGTCCATCCCTCAGTATTCTAATTCCATTTTGAAGTAATGAATTGAAAGTTTGTTAATAGAAGTAGTTAATGGACTAAGAGTTTAACCAAGAGAGATTTCTATTCAGGTAGACAAATGTGTTTGTGAGCTCTTATCTTTCTATCTGCAATCAGTGGCTGAAAGCATAATTTTATAAGAATAAAGAAACCTATTCCTATTTCTCAGAAGTAACACTCTCTTTCTTCACAACAGAACAATCTTCCTAATTCTCTTATTTCAACTATGCTAATATTTATTTTCATCACACGTGTCTTGGTGGATATTTACTTGATCACTGAATGGATTAACTGATCTAATGATGTGTAAGTCCTTGAGGCCTTTATATTTAGCAGAGAAATACTTTGAGGCATGAATCCAATTTATCCATAGAAGAGTAAGCTATTTCTTGCTATATATTTAGTAACTTTTCACTCCAGAAAAAAAATCAATTTTCCTGAAGTGGTGAACTGAATCCATTTGAAGACAAGAAAAAATGTTTCTGAGTAGAATACCAGAGTCTGGCCTACAGACACATTCCTATTACTGCATTAGCCACCAGAGACCTACAATTAAATTGTGTCTGAAAGATATTATTTACCCTTTTTATTCTGCTAGTTTCAGTGATCTATCCATCCAGCAGACTTGAATGAAAGTGCACCGATAACTACAGTGACCTGGAATTATTATTCTGTTTGTTAGGTCAGGATTATCAAGCAGCTCAGAGTCATGAGAAACCCCTTATAAATTTTACCAGGTGTAGTATGGAGATGGGACACTTTGGGAGGACTTGCTCTGGGTTACCTTCTGAATATCAACAGTGTTTGCAATAAATCTGGTAAATTGTTGTTTCAGTACCAAGCTGTTAGTAAGATGCTTTCTCAAGTGAGGATGAAATGGATGGTACTATGAGAAGGATAGAAGTTAAAGGGGAGCAATTTTGCATTGCACTTGCAATCTGACAAATTCCACATGGGAGCTGGAATTTGGCCAGAGGTTCATACTGCAAACTCTTGCAAAAAGTTCTGCCGAAGCTATAGTTAGGCATAAATAGCGAGGCTATTGAAATAACCAATCTGCCTTATAAGAAACCATATATTATATAGAATAGAGAGCCCTGAAGGATCTTTCAGATATGATTAAAAGTCTCTCTTCTTCACAAGTCATCTGGAATAGAACCAATAAGCTTTGTTTCATGGTTTTTAAAGACTGGTATCAATGCTTTACAAAATAACCAAAAAGAGGAAAAGACCCCTCAGGCCACAACTGTGGAAATTGCTTTTTTCCTTTTCTTTCCTTTTCATGAAATTTCAGTTTACTTTATGCAGTGTTTTGTTAGGCTCAGTTGTTCTATTTCTTGCTTAGTGCTAGCTGTACACTCAAACTGACTTGTGTAATATATCCATTCTTCACATCTGATGTCCTGTTGTTCCAGCATGTCAAGATAACGTCTATCAAAAAGGGGGCAAAGTCTGAGGCCAGCAGAACTTCTCTAAACAGGAACAATTAAGGTCCAGTGAAAACACTGGGATGTGGCATAACAACATCTCAGCATCTCTCCTGAATCTGTCAAACCAAAATAGGGAAAAAGTACCCTCTTAACTTGTGTTTTTCTTAGTTTCTCTTCTAAGCATTTGCTTAACCAGCAAGAGTTATAGTACTAAGGTAGATGGATCTTCGGTTAGACTCAGTTCTTTAAAATGCTCAAAGGTCCCCTCTATCCTGAATTATCCTTTGATCCTAAGTGCTAGGTCTCAGTCAAAGTATAAAGGGATCCCAGGTAAAGTGATGAGGTAGGAGTTTGGTCATATTACCCAGGGTAGAACACAGTGAACCCCTGCAAATCAGCGGGGCAAGGTAAACCTGCTAAGCGGTTAGGCTGGCAGCCCCATTTATCCTTGCTTCTGCCTCTCAGGAGAATTTCTTCTTACAACTTGAAGCCCCTTTTATTTTGCAGGGTGAGTTTCCCTGAATTGCTGTGGGAGAAAGCCCACCCCAGGGGAAATACTACATCTCCTGGGATAAGGCACTGCCTTGTGTATGGCTGTGACAGCATGGGCTGGAGCACCCAGAGGTCTTAGACATTTTGGTGCAGATTTCCAATGAATTTGATGTGTTAATTTCCAAGCCCTAAATTGTGAAGGATGCATGATAGTTTTGCCTTGCTGCTGGACTTCACCAGTGTTAGGTGAATCTTAATGTTCTGGGAGCAGAGGGCTGGCTTGTTTTTCTGATGGTTTCTTCTACTGACATTTTTTATTTAGCATTTTGAATATTTTTAGCTGGGACCTGTGCTGTTCTCTTCCATCTTATAAGCCTTTCAAGAAGCTCTTTCAGCTCCAACAGAATATTCATTGATTTTCATTGCAGTGGAAGGAAAGGGAGAGGGGGGGAAAAAAAAAAAGTCTTTCTTGCTCTCCTCTCTCTTTTCTCCTCTTACCTGGATTATCTGGGGAGTAACTGCAGCTTTGAGAGCACATTATAAGTCAGTTCATCTCTGAGACTACTTTGCTTACACAATCTTGAACCTGAGCAGTTATTAACTTCTTTCTCTCTGAACAGATACACTGTTTTATAAGACTCCTAATAAGTTGGCTAAAAGAATGCACCATGGGGCCTTTTCTCTTTTATCAGCAGTCACCAAACATTTGTCTTTCATATTGTATTACAGTGTAGTAGCCGTGAATTTTACTCTCAACTGTGCAGGATTCCATGGCAAAATAGGGAAATGAGCCATTGGGGGAAGGTAAAAAGTCAGCATAAATCAAAAGAAAGTCTGGCTCCATTTGTATTTACAAGGAATTAATTGGTTTTAATTTCCTGTGCTTTGCACAATAATCTGTGTAATTCAAAACTTCTGCTTTTTCCCAAATTCCATCCCTGTGCCTGTCAGGGGGGGGGGTTGCCATCAGGCATATGCATGTAGGGAGAGTGAGAGAAAGAAAGGTTGAGCCCTACCATCTGAAAAGCACAGAGCTTTTCATAAATCCTGTAAACATGTCACGAATAAGCAAATTGAGAGTGGCAAGCAGTTGTAGAACAGCCCAGTTCATACATTGTTCTAGTATCTGATAGCAGATTTTTATCTCATGTTTGAAATATAATATTTTATTACTGGTAGAAATCTTTAACTCAGTTTTTCTGTGTTTTTGCAATCAGATAAGCCCTTGAAAAGGGGCTTTTGTTATAATTTGTTATTCTTATCATAATTAATTTATATTCCAAGAACATTCAGAGGTTTTACATGGGTGGGATCATATTTTGTTGTATGTAGTACAATCATACAAAGGCTAGAATTTGATTTACTGTGGACCTACAGTAATATATAGTTGCCCTTTCCAAGGTGCAGACCAGAGATTAGAAGGTAAATAACACTTGTTCATGGCAGAGAATACCTCCAGGAAACATCAGGTCAGCTTTTCACTGCACTAGGAAGGTTGCAGTCTGCCTTGACTGTCCTTTGGTGTGTAACCAGTGGTGGGCAATGACATGAGACAGTTCTGAGCATCTGATGTCTCGCCTACATTGCCTCTGCCCATGACAAAATAGTCATCTGACTTAAATGGGAACACATCTGTCAAAACTGTTGTAGACAAGATAGGCAGGAGACAGATTCTGTTTCTGCAAGAAACAGTAAAAAGGATTTACACCAAACAAAAACACTGGAATAAGAGTTAGGCCAGGGCATGATGGATAACATGGATAACAAATGCTACTGCATTGCTATGGGGGTTTCTGTTGCCATGAACAGATTTAGGAGACCTTCAGTGGGACACTGACAGTCAGGACATCTGCAGAAAGAGCTCAGAGAGGCTTCAGGGCTGTCACTGAATGCTAAGATTTCTCATCACATTGGACCCCTTATATGGTTTGGTTTCAATGTGACCTCCAAACCCTGTTGACCCTTCACTGAAATGAATTCTGCTGGCAAAGAAATGATTTAAAAATAGATACCAGTACTATTTCTAGTGTCTGTGGGAGTTTTTGTGGGGGCTGTGCAGTGGAAGAACAAAATGGTTGTTGACATTATTCCATTGGGATAAATACATTTTTCTGAAATTAATATGGTGGTGATGAAAACAGCAGACTGAAGTAAGGCATGTCTCCAGAAAGCAGGTGCAGCCCAGGCAACACCTGGTGAAGTTTCCTGGTAACACTCTGCCATGTCCTGACAAAACATTTCAACCCTAACCTAGTGGAACAGGTTTTGAGGGAAAAATTGAGTTTAGGCTCTGTATCATCTTCAGATTTCTTACCAGGGAGAAGTTAATTAAGCTCAATTCAGCCAAAATGTTTGAAAGCAGCTCAGGATCCACCAGCTTGTTTGGTGACATGAGGTAATGGGAGATCAGGTCTTTAAAATCAACAAATTGCTGAATTGATTGCGGAATGCCACAACTAGCAACCGTTTTGCAGAGAACAGTGTGCTGTGAAGTGCTATGAACATTTGCTAGATGTTGTCCTAAAGGCTCACTTACTGCTTGTGAGCTCTTCGTCTCTAACTAAACCTTTATCTCAGCTTTTAGTTTCAATCTGCATAAAATTAATCAGTTTAGCAATTGCAAAGTGGCCTGCTTAGAGCCTTATGCTTTTGGACTTCTCCTGTTTGGTACCTCACAAACCGTCCCTGAGTGTCCCTCCAACACTGAGACCAGAGGCAACTCCTGGTGCCAGTAACCTGGCAGCCGCTCCACCTCCTCCAAGTGCCCCCAGTAGAAGACAGTGGGTTTTTTTCACCTGTGAGGCAGACCTGCAGCAGCAGCTCTTCTAGCAGTGACCACTTGTTGTAGTAATACGCATTACTCAGCAGAGGACTGTCATGTAAAGAAACCCAGCAGCAGGTCACTCTGCCACTATTTTACCACTGCAACATGACCTACTTCAGGATCAGGATGGCCACATTTAGAAATTTTTTGTTTCTTTCTAATCCATAAACACCACTATTTTTAAACAGCACTTAAAAAAGTCAGTCATGCTTGTTCACTATCTGCCTCTTCCCCAGAATGGCCCAGACTCACAGTCTTCACAAACAAGAATGTAACTGTCTTGCCAAGCTCTATTCACCTCCTGGTCTGTTTTGGTGGAAGCATTTCCACCATAACTGCTGTCAGTAATTTTGTCCAGTGATTCATTTCCTTTACAATTGAAATTACATGATTAAAACATTTGTGTCTCAAAACATTGCTAGATTGATTGTAAAATCAAAAATCTGAAATATTAGCTCACTGCAGGGGAAAAAACCCGACATAACTTTATTATTAAAATAAAACATAGTTGTGAAAGGTGCATGGATTGATTCTAACCCTTTGAATCTGACCTTCAGCTAGTTGCTTATTTAGTTGCTGCAGTGCTGGTTTTAGTCACCAAGTATTGCAAAGTACTGTGAATAGCTTGGGAACATACGGCTTTGAGTAACCCATCCAAACATAATAGCTGGCAGAATTCAGAGCAGAAACAAACCCACATGAAGACTCAACACTTGGAAGTGGTGAAGTGTAAAATCAATAGCTGGTGTTCAGCCTGCCTAGGACATCTTGAAGACCTCTGATGTCTGAGCTGTATCTCCCAAAAGTGTACCTTGAAGGGCTTTTTCCTAAGTAAATAAAAGGGTTTTGGAAAATGTCTTTTGGAGGCTTAAACCTTCTTCTGTCTTGATAAGACATTGGGGTAGCACAAAGAAGCTGTAAATGGAGGTGAAACCTTTCCTCCATATGGTAACAGCTACATTATCATTGGATGACATTTTTCATATTAGTAATTCTGTGTAATAAGAATGGTAACAATGTTTAGTGAGCCTTTTCTTGGTTAGCCTGATTTGAAATGTGCTGAATTACTTATGAGAAATAGAGTCAAACAACACAGGATGCAAGAGAGGCAGAGAAGTGCAGAACACTGCCACAAGTGAGCTTTGCCCTCAGAAATTGCTTCATGGGGAAGAAACCAAGTAGTGAGAATCAATCAGACATTTACCTTCCAGGACACTTCTGAACTCTTTGTTCTAAAAATTGTTATTTTGATGCAAATTCTATCAGCCAACATCTACTCATCCAGAAAGCAAGTACAGAAATGATTCAGTTTGTTCTACTTAAGCACTTGAACAAGGCTGTCCCTTGGACTCTTCTCTTTTTTCAAACTCCCATCTTTCCTAAAAGCATTATGTAGGTCTTGATCTCACTACTAAAGAATTTCTGTGTTGAAAGGTTAAGCAGATATTTGTTTGGATTTGTGTTCTTTGGAGAAATAGCATGTCCACCTCCTCCCCCGTTAAAGGGCACTGGAAAGGCTAATTGCTCGGGCAGGGATCCAATGTCACAACAACTCCCAGTGATATCAGCCCTGGATTAGGTCTGAATACTGGCCTTGCTCACCTTTGCTATGTCTGCTGGCTTAATTGGAGACCAACCATTCTCCTGAGTCAGGGAGAAGCTTCAGGCCTTTGGAAGACTACAAAGGACTCAGCTTTTGCTAGAGGCTTCATGAGGACAGCACTCAAATGTCATGAGTGTTACTTTAAGACACAAGCAGCTAGATTCAAGGCCTGTGTCTGCAGCTTGAAGAGGGCAAAAGGGGCATCAAGTCTGGTGCTGGACATGTCAGACTCCGCTGTGCACTGACGCAGGACCCAACTTTTCATGTGGTGAAAAGCCTGGGACTGTGTGACTGGGAGTGCAGGGATTCTCAGAAGTTCTAACAAGCATTCAACCAGCCATATAAAACTTTAAGGTAAATCAGGTCATCAGCATCTAGTTTTTGTGTAGTGTCTCTTGTGTTGTTTACCTGAGACATAGAACTCAATGCTCCTCTCTTCTTTGCTGATCTTGTTGGAAGCCACACAGTAATAGATTCCTGATGCACTGCTGTTTTCCACAGTTAGTGTGCTCACAATCTGCCAAACAAAGAGAGAAGTAAAGGCTTTCAGTGTAGTGTTAGGCTTAGCAGAGAGGCTTGAGAGTATTGGATAAGGATATATTTTGTGGTAGAAAAACAGTTGACAAAGGAGCTTCTAGAAAGGAGTGAAGCTTACAAACAGACAAGTGCTTCCATTAGGTTTTTGGTCTCTTCTCTCCTCATTCCTAAACCTTCCCCTTCCTTTCTTCCTGTCTTCCCCATGAAAAACAGGGTTTCCCTCTGACACACTGCCAAAGTCTTTGTGTGACATCAACAAAAAGCTAAAGTGAAGGACCTGGAAGATTCATCTAAGACACGGGAAATGAAGCCCCACATCCACTCTTTTTTTTCTGCTTTTCAGTTATGGTTTCTGTGGGTAACAGGACGCCCATATTTGCATGGGAAGCAGGTCATTCATATGGATGTGGTATGAAGAACATTGCAGGATTTTGCTTTGCTTTGCCTTGCTATAAACCCAGAGAAGGGGGGAAGGGATGTGGCTCCTTGGGGCCCCAGCTCACTCTTACAAATTGTGCTTGGAAACCCCTTGATTCCATAATCCTTCCTCAGAGCCTTACCAGAACTTGTGCAGTAAGTAATGAAGCTCTGGAGAAGCTGCCTGTTTTAAGAGACTTGGCAAATGCAGAAAGAAAGGGAGGATCATGAAGGAGAAGGAAGGAACAGTTGTCCTGAGCTTCACACAGAAAAAGGAAGTGTTTCAGTTACTCATGGGGCTGAATTTAAACACATCCTTAAGAACTTGTGACCTTAAACATCCTAAGCCCCTGCTTCTGTATAGGGCCTTCTTAATGAGGAGCCAGCCATATGGCACTCCCCTCTCCCATTCAGGATGCAACATCACAGGCCCGTGGAGGCTTTCCACAGGTCATGGCTTTAATTATATCTAGTGCTTCCTTTGGGTTGCTAGTAAACAGCAGGGTCTAACCCACCAAGACAGAGATGTTCTTGCAAGATTACTTTGCTTCCCCTGCAGCCATTCACCTGAGGAACTCTGAGCCCTCACATTTGGAACAAATATCACTTTCTTTGCCGTCCTCTCTAAGGACTTTGAGAATCGAAACTTGTAACACCCTCTGGCCCTTTGTCCTTATCTCCAGAGAGCACTTTGAAGTGCACAAAAGCATCTCTGGACTTTCTTTTTAATATCCTAAACTAAACTCACGCAAGACATTCCTTTACCCCTCATAAAGCTGCACCATGAATGTGTCTGTAGCTGTTCAGGATGTATTGTCAGAGAGTTCTTTAAGATTTTCTGAGCTTTGGCACTTTAAATCCTGTAGGGAAATGAGTTTCAAAGGTTTTGATCCCATGTGCAGTTTACACTCTAATGGGGACCATTTTCAGCAGAATAAGTGGAAAAGTTTCTACTTTTCATGGGCACCAAACACAGAAATTAACCAAGAGTAGGAACAAACCAAATGTAGGGGTGAAAACAGGGGACCAGTAAAACCCAGCTCCCTCTGGCGTCCACCAAAGAAAAAGCTGTGCAGTTCTGTTTTATTTATGATGTGAAAATAGCTCTAACTTGGATGTAAAATCACCCAGAGAAGCAGTCTGCTCTTCCTCCTTTTTCTATTACTGTAGAAGTGGGCCTAATGCCACATATTATTAACAAGCACATGTTTAGAGCACTACCCCTGACTTTAAGCAGTAGACACTGCCTTTTGAATTACTGCTGAATCAGGACCAAGATCTTTCTTCTCATGATCTTAGAATTTTATATTTGGGAATAGAAAAAAAGCCAATACAAATATATGTGCTGAGGACAGAAGGGGATAAATTTGGATAGCTATTTAACAGCTATTAGTCTTGCTAAGTGACAGCTGTAGAAGGGAAGTTGAGGATAACACTGTGTAGCCAGTTAAAATTATAAAGGGGAATGTAATGATTCCTCTTGGAATACATCCAAAGTGTTAGGGGTGACACTGTAACTCTTCTAAAAACTGATGCAGTGCCTCAAGCTGCATTTGGTGGCCCAGAGGTAAACACACACATATGCTCATGAACACACAGAGATGCTAAAGCCTCTAACTTCATAACTCAAGAAAAGTCTGACATGGTAGTGGGAAAAAATAAAAGCGGAAATACCTATACTGAGACCTCATTTTAGCTAATCTCAACTGTGTCTAGATGTGAGGGTGAAAAAGTTGTTAAAATGATGGTGGGATACAATCTGAGGACAAATTCTTGGGAAAAATTTACTGAGGAAAAGAGAAAGTAATTTTCTTGTTTGTATGCTCAAAATCACTTTTATGTACTTGGATAACCAGTTTGCTACACACCTGAGCACAGGAGCTAACGTGCTTTACTGTCTTGTCTTAGAACTAGCACCTCCCAGGGTCCTCCAAATTGTGTCTTTTAAAGCAGCAGCATCCAGCAGAGAAATATGTGTGATTTCAGAACTGGAAATGAAGGCTTCTGAGTAATTTTCATGTAACAAAATGAATCCCTTGACATAATTATGCATCAGCCTTTCACTCTAGCTGTGTGCTCCCAGGTAAATCCCTGAGATTGGGAATCTAGTTATCTTTCCAGCATCTTAAACAAAGTTCTCAGTTGCCAAACTAACCTAATTCTGGTTTAGTCCTCAACTGAATGATGCTTTGTAACACTAACATGCTATACCAAAGGGGATCCAAATCCTCCTTCACTCTTATATGACCACATAGTTTTGTCTTTTACCAAAAAGAACCTGAAAGAAAAATTTAGGAAGCCAGCAGTGGTATCTGCTTTTTGATGTATGTGTAGGTCAAAGATATCCCCTTGAAATCAATCAAGGAGCTCCCATTGAAAAGTAACTCCGATTAATCCAGGTGTTAAACCCCATAGTATTTGCAATGCTGATGTGTTGGCAGTTGTTCATCACCTGTTTCTGTAGGCAACCCAAGTTGAACAAACTTGAAAATTTGAAATTTGTCTGTACTTGGTCATAGTGGCAGGTAGGGATAAAGATTTTGTTTTTCTAAATGCCATCCCTATACTTTCAATGCAGCCATTTCAAGGAAAGTCTCTTAAAAGAAGTTTGAATGAGAAAATGGTCTGAACTAAAGTAATCAAACATAGGAATCTTTACCCATTATTAACAGTGAGAACTGTCAGCAGACTTCTTTCTCTGTCAGTGGAGTGGCACAGTCCCCACATTTGGGGACTTTAAGTATAGAGTGGAAAAAATTCTGAAGGGATAATCTACTTTGTGTGCTTAATCCATGCACCTGACAAAGTATTTTCCATTCCTGGAATCAGAGCCAGGATATTCTGCAAAGTTTAAGATGTTGTCATTTGCTGCATCTAGACTCATGAAATCATGGGACCACTGGTGATCTCCTGTCCAACCTCTTACTCAAAGCAGGGCTCACATCAAAGCTGTTTCTCATGCCTTCTACTCAGAAAACTCTGCTCCCAGACAGACCACAGCACTTTCTGCGAAGCCTAAATAATGATGCTGATATGAAATCTGCAATTGCAATAATGATGCTATGAAATCTGCAATTGCCTTGAAACATTGTCTCTCTTCAGTGAAACTACTATTCATGAACTCTTTACAGCCTGGAAATATGCACCTTTTAGTTTATTCTCCACTCCATATCCTAGTCATGAGCCCTTCAGACTAAATGACATGTTAACCCTTGCCAAGGTAGTCCAGCCACAAGTGGTAAGCACAAACTATGTGGCTGTTAGTCCTCAGCTTCTGTGCAGACTGTATTGGAACCAATGGTAATTAATAACAAATTATTGGCATGTAATGTCTAGACATCTTCCTAGTGGGAACTGGACTGGGATCCTGTGAGTTCACTGCATACCAAACACCAAACATCCTTTGGACCAGTTTTGATTGCCTCTGTTGAATTTGGAAGTAAAGGGCTCCATTTCCTATTACTTAACCTAAAGGCCACCCAGTACTGTGAGGCCAAAGGAGGGATTATTAGCTAATAAATAATTACTATAAAAGAATAAACTAAGTTTAAAACTCAATAAGAAAAGAAGTAAAATGACTGATCTCTGAAGTACTGCTACGACAAGTAAATAGAGATTGCTGCTGGGAAAATTCATAATGGAATAGCTCAATAAGGTCCATATGTCTTTCACTGTAATGTTCCCAAACTGATAAAAACAAGCTATTTTAGAAGCAGCCAAATAACATTCCACAGCCATATACCATGAGTGTTTTAAGACATCTTGTAGTAAGGACAGAGCAGCAAAACCTTTTTTTTAACCTGGAGCCAGCATGAATTAATATATCTTGTTATTTCTTGCTTTCTCTTTTCTTTGTCTAATCCCTCCCTCCAATGGCTTTAGTTAACAATTCTTCTCTCTTTCACTTCGTTAGCTATATGGGGGCGAGAACGAGGAGTAGAAAAAGTGGGTGGAAAACTTCTCAGCTGTCTAACTCTAGTAGAGCCAAGGTGGAGGTGGCTAGAGGGAGACTAAATTAGAGGAACTTCACCAGAGACCCCACAAAAAATTATTCATCTAGCTCCCAATCCATCTACTTGAATGGCACAGAATAACACTTATTTTTACAGCCTGACAATTCTGATCCATGATCTTAGTTCATTCATTCAAAACATGTTAAAGGATGGACTGAGGACAAGAGTAGTCTGTAAGTTGACTGAGAGCTTCTAGGGTTTCCTCTCATCTCTGGCAGTGGGCGCTTCTCTCCCTGTAAAATGAGAACAATCATTGCTTTCCTCACAGAGTATGGCAGAGCTGATGCTAGTACAGTGTGATCAGGAAAGGTGCTGGACAGGGCAGGGAACTGGGGAAAACCAGAGGTTTGAGGTGCCTCTGGAGGAACCAGTATACATTGCTAGTATCTATGGGCTAATCACTGTCTGGCCCTCAGGCAGGTGGGCAGGTGCTGGCTAGTCATAAGCAATTACCACCCTCAGGCTTTTTCCTTGCACTCAGTGATTGCAGCTAATGAATTGAAGAGAGCAGGGAAGGTTCCTGTGCATTCTTATGTCCCTGCTGCTAGCCAGGCTCGCTAAACCTTCCAAGGACACTGTGGTATTCCATGTGCTCCTGTGCTTAGGCAGTGCCTGAAACATCTGGGATAGTGTCCCAGAGAGGGGATACTTTGTTCAGAAACCCATCTGCCTGACAGTTCACCTTCCCCTGCTAGAGGCTGCAGTGACAAAGCTCACTGAAATGGGCACCCACATAGGGTGACAGATTTAAAGAGCCCGACACAGTTGCTCACGTACTTTTCATCAAATGCATTCCACTACTCTAATGTAGTATTTTTGTTCCTTCAAAAGGTTTAAACCTGGAATTTTGGGGTCAATTTTTTTGAGTGGTTATGAATTTAACTAGCAAAAGAGATGTATGAAACATCTACATGGCCAGGCCACACTCTCACATAAACATGAAAGGGAGAAAAAAGACAAAAAGAACCCTCAGTGAGGACTGAATTATGTATGGAACTTGCTGTCCTTTTCTGCTATGTCCTGCTCCCCCAAGCTCAGACCAGTATGTTCACTATACTAACAGGAAAGAAAAGAAAATAGCAACCTAGCTCCTTGCAGCTTGAAGAGGAAATTCAGGCAATTCATGCCATCATGGGTGTTTCACCTGGTGTTAAAAAGCAGTCTTGAAATCTACACAGTAGTTTAAATCAGTAAGTGAAAAGTTCAATATTGACTCAAAACCACTGGGAGAATTAAACTAGCATGATGCAATTGCCTCAACCACTGTTTCATCAAAATTTCAGTGAAGTACATCGTAATGTTAACAATAACTACGTGCTTTTTTAAGGAATGAGACTCAGCCTTTAGAAGGCAGGAGAGGGTGAAATTTACTTCTCTAACTGTGGAAAAATAATGGAATAATCATTACGACAGAGATGACAAAAGACCTCAATTTTATATGCCACTTTTGTTAAATAGATGTCTAAAGTTCTTGCTGAGATCAAAGATCAAATAGCACATCAAGAATCAGTGGTCTGCTGGAAAAATCCTTGCTTGCTGCCCTGCGAAGTAGCTTTTGAGCAAGATTCTGGACCTGGTAATTTCTGAGGGCTTATTCTCATATTATTAGCAGCTCTAAAAAGTTAATGCATTTTTTTCATATGTTGCTGAACCAGCATGTATTGCTATAGTTCTTCCAGGGTAAACTCTAGGGATGCTGAGAAATCTTAGAGACTAGGTAAATTCCACCTTCTGCTCTGAGACTCCAGCTATCATTGGACAGGCTCAAATCACACAGGAAAAATAACCAATCTCAGCTAATCCCAGCTTCATAACACAGTCAATAAAAGCCATGCTCAGTCAGACTCCAACATCTTTATTATTTCATCTGGCTAGTCAATGCAGATGAATTACTTGCTAGGACATGCTGGGAATGGATTGGGCTGTTTCCTGTCTATTCCATTTCTGGTGGGAATAACGACTGATAAAAACCAAGGAAAAGTCTGAAGGCTATGAGTTTTCATCAGTGTCTTTTTTTGAATTATATTCTTTTATCTAAAGACTCCACTTAACACAGATAGCCTTGGACTTCAGAAAGGGGGAAGGAGAGGACTTGTCTGCTGATGTAAGAAGGGAGACAAAGTGCTGAAACCTGAGATTCATAAAATCTAGTTTTATTAATTTGAATAAATCTTAACCAAGACATAAACATTATTAGGAAACACCTCAGAATGTGTTTTTGACCAGTGGATCAGCAGTAGATGAAAATAATGAATATACTATAAATTGTAAAATTATGCAACGTGTAAAGAAGTACCGTTATGAAACTTTAATAATGAAATATGTAAAAGCTTAAGTTAAAGGGCTGTAGGATGAGCTTTTGAACATGTCTAAAAAATTAACACTTCAGGATGCTTGGGAGTGCAGGGCAGAGTGAGGAGCAGCCTTGGGGCTGTTTGTGATACTCAAGGTGTGAGCACAAGCAAAGCTCTTTGGGAAGGAGTCCTTCTGAGGACTGTGTGGGGTCCTTGTACCGAGGTTCCCCTATAGTCCTCATTTCCACTAGGCATCTCCCCAGTTATGCCTCCCTCCTCCTAGCACTCTACTGTCCACTATGTTCTACAAGCAGGAAACTCAGGCACATGATGCTGTCAGGACTGACCTCTGCATAGGTGCTCTGGTGTCCTCTGTGAGCACAGAGCACTACTTCTCCTCTGACTGCTGTACCTGGAGATTGGTGCACCTTTTGTTTCTGGGAAAACTAGGTGATAGGGAAAAGCTGGGATGTGCCTGATCATGCACCAACATAGACTGAGGAGGTGTGCCCCACCGGATCCAGGAGCTCTGTGGCATTTCTAAACCACTTCATTCAAAGACTGCAGCTAAATCCCATCTTAAGTCCACTAACAGACTTAAATTTCACCCAGATGCGTATTTGCCTCAGCAAAGTTGGTAGAAGAAGAAATGAAAGTGATGTACATATGCATAAAACGAAGAAAAATGTTTCTAATTTTGTGTTGTTGAGGTGTCTCACTATCCCAGCATGTGTGACAATTCAGCAACCAACAGATAACAGCAGTTGTGAAAACTTTCACTTTTATATGGCGACTAACATAACTGTTACTAACATAACTAACAAGACTGATCATCAGATGTAAACTAAGCTCTTGAACAGCAGATCATATATTTAGACAGACTGTATAGATGGAGAGAACAAATAACCATAAGAGCTGTAAAACTCTTGTTGTCAGTCCATGCAGCAACCAGAAAGTCTTAGAAAATGAAGAAATTTGTAGGTACATGTCACCAACCTCCATTTCTTACAAGTAATTAGCACTTTGTAGGTAGTTGCTTTTACCTAACCTAAAATTCTTAGAGAATACATTCAAATCAGAACTTAAGGGGCACTGTATCATCTAAATAAATCCAATTTATAAATATCTTCCAGCAAGGGGAAAACTCAGGAATGAAATGCGAATACTGATTTTCTCCTTCCCAGACCAACCTCCATGTTTTCAGAGCTCTGTTTTAGATTATGTTTAGAGCTGGAAAGTCTCCATGAGAAAGAGCAGATGGCTAAGGTACTGATCCTGCCAGATGCTGATTTAGTCTGGACCCAATCCAGAAAAGCACTTTAATTTTGTGCTTAACTTTAAGCATGGGAGTAGCCCAAGAATTACTACATGCTTAAAGGTGTACCAGCATATGAACTACAACATTCAGCACCTTGCAGGATTGGGCACTAAACTATCTGGAGCATCCACCTTGAAACCTGTAGCTGCAAAACCACTCCCAAAGCCACAAACTTTTGCAAGTCCAACAGAGCTAAAACAACTGTCTGAGCCAGACCACAGCATCTTCTCCAAGGCATAACGAAAAGTCTGTGAAGCTACAGTAGAAAAGCTGCAGCAATTTCTCAAGGATTAGCATGGATGTGTGTAAACAGTATCAGTCATTATCACCACAGGTACCCGGGAGGCACTGAACAGATAATTCATGGCTGGGATCTTTGCAGCTCATGCAGGAAGTGTGCTCCTGGTGTGTTTGGAAGGGGAAGCAGGCAAGGAAGTGTAAAAGGAAGGAGGTCTTCCCACCTTCACTGGCTCGGTAACATGGTTGGCAACCCAAGTGGTTAAAGAAATGTTGATAACTCCAGCCGAAACAGGCAGGTACTGCAGGCATTTACATACTCTGACAATCAGGCCAGATATGTCTGGCCACCATAGGCCTCTTATATTGCACAGCTGTTTAACTCCTGCTACTGGGAGAGTATGCAAGGCTGGGCAGTACAAAGTGCTTTCTAAGTGCTAAGCATTTTAATGAGCTCAGAGTCCTTATCAGTTGTGTGCGCTTCACAGGACCCCTCTTGCACTGAACCAGTCTTACACTTTCTCAAGACTGAGGGAGACGGACAGGTTTTTGACCCAGAAGTCTTTGGAGAGTTTTAAACAGTGTATGTGACATCATTGCCAGAATCCCAGCATTTATAAACAGCAGAGATCTGAACATGATCCCAGGGCTGTGGAATTTAAAGCATGCTAACAACCCATGGCAGCTTGGGAACTGTGGGGAGAGAGCTCCGTGTGAGCGCAGTGTCCCCTCCATAAAGCCCACTGCTATTCCATGACATCATTGCTCAGATTTTCATCAAACACATACCTTTCTTTTATCCCCATGCTTCATGATTATGTTTTCAATGCTTCTGATCTTGTTGCCTGTGAACATATTCTCCTGAACCACAGTTTTTTGCCCAGTGGGGTTGCATCTGGAGGTAGAAAAGCAAAGGTGGTGTTCAAGAACCCGACTCTGCAGATAACCCAGGGAGGCATTATTAAAGAGAGATAATGTCAGTCTTAGACAATAATCTTAGGCCTTAAAAACTCCTAAAAGCTATTGCTGCTGAAGATTGCTACCTCTTCATGAAACTACTGAATTCCTTCATTCCAGCATTTCAAATTTATTTACAAAGCACCTTGACAGAGGTAGACAAAGATCAGTATATGACCAGCAAGGAAACCCCTCAAACTTTCTAAAGATTGAAAATGTAAAATACTGGACAACTAATTAAATCATATGAGTTTAATCTGGCTAATATGAGTTATACTCCAAGTCAATGCAGTTGTGGCTTCTTAAGTGCTCTTTTAGCAATTGCAGTGCATTTCAAAATGCAAAATGCTAGTCATTCAAAACTGTGGAGAGGTGAATGTTGTTGAGCGTGTCTGTCTATCTGCTCAGCTCTCCAAGATGAAGTGCAGGCTGAGGGAGCAGAGTGGATAAATACTGGAATAACAATAGCAGAAGTCTCCTTTAATATTGCATATTCTCCAAAAGATAACAATATCTCTGTCAGTTATTGACCTTAATTTTTGACTTATGGGCAAAGAGCAGTGTATGTAGCACATAATGCAGAAAGTTATATCTGCACCATCCAAGGTAAAAGATTTTTCTGTCTTCTTTAACTACAGTCCTTGGAATAAATGAGCGGGCCTTCTCATGCTTAGGAGAGCAAAGTCTTCAGCAGGGCCAGAGCTCCAGGCATCCTGGCTGTGGGCGCTGCCAGCTGTGCAATTTGAGGAAGTCTTTCATTTTAAAATTGCCAGTGCAGCTCCAGTCCAGCACAGCTGGGTGTTACAAACTGTGACTCTGTGATGGCAAGTTAGTGAAGTCATTTCAGTTCCACAACTAGCTGCAGTCACACCTTGCACAAGTCATCGCAGTGCATGACAGGAAAGTGTCCGTATTGCCTCCTCTGCCTCAGCAGAGGCACTGCGCTTCCCAAAGCCAGCAGCCTTGGAGCCCACCACAGTAGATTAGGATTATAAGAGGTAAAATGAATATGGACTTCTATAGGTGATGACCAAGGGCTGATGCTGCAGAAAACTAATCCATAAATCAGCCGTGCCTTTGCCAAATCCACACAAGATGCATAGGTAACACCCTGGTTCAAGGGAGGGTTTATAGCTCTCAAAAGAGCCTAATTAGAAGATGTCTTGAGTGACTTCCCCCAAGCCACAATCCTGTCTTGAGGATGAAGGGAAAAAAATCAAAGGAAGCAAATCACATCACAGCTATAAGGAACAATGATAGTGTTTTGGGATTCAAAGTGCACAAGTGAGGAGGGGGGAGAGAAAGAGAGAGAGAGAGGAAGTGAGACAACAGAAGGAAATGGGGTCTGTGTCATTTCCCACAGGAATCCTCCTACAGCTTCTGCTGGAAAAAGATAAGGCTGCCCCGGAGGCCAAAAGAGGTAGACGCCACTCTGCAATTGTATTTAAATTGATAAGATCAGAGAGTCAGAGCGCTGGAACAAGGGTTATATGAGGTCTTTTGCCACCAGGTCACTGGTTCAAATCTGGTTTAATTCGGCATTATTGACCAATTCTCTTTCCCTAAACAGAAAGGTCTGGAAAAGATTTCAGGTCGTCTCTGTGGCTTTCCTACAGAATGCATAACCTGTTTCCTTATGGTGTTTCCATTCTGCTCTTGTTGAACAGCAGCTTGTGTGCCTTCTGCTGACCAGTGATGCCAACAGCCCTACCTAAGCCTACAAATCTCTACCACTTTATTCCTTCAGGTACAGTGTAACTACCTAAATGAGGTAATGGGCTACTTCCCTTGCGGAGGGACACAAGGTCACTTTTTAGTCCCTACCTGAGACTAGATCTCCAAACAGCACTGCAACTGCTGCAGCAGAGGACCTGGGAAAGGAGCTTCTCTTTGTGATTTTTCTGTCTCATGGCTTGCCATTCACAGCATTTGGAAAAGCACTGGAATGGTGAGAAAATAACGAACCATCCTGCAACTTTATCTCTTGCTTCCTAGACCTACCTTCATTTTTTTATGGATGGAACACCTGACTTCAGCCCTCTCATTGCCAGGAAGGGTTGAAGTGCAGGCAGAAATGTTATACATGGCTTCTGTATACCCCCTGGGGCTACCAGGGGAAGTATTCAAACCTCAGCCAAGACCTGTCTCTATAGATGACTCTGCTCTAATAACAGAAGGAGCAAAGAAAATGTCTACTTCTATAAGGTGAATCTCAAAAGGCATCTTATGTTTTAAATTGCCTCATTCTTCTCTGACAGTTTTGACTCAGTGACTTGCTTCTGTGTCTTCACACCTCAGGCTGCCTCCTGAAAAGAAGGGCCCTCAGTAAAGCGTGAAGTCTTGGCTACCTTTTCCTGCTTCTGCAACACAGATGCTGCCACAGGAGCCCAGGCTCCGTTTGCACTGGTGGAGGCAGCCCCTAGGAAGTGGCATAAATTCCATATGGCAACTAAATGAAGCCAAGCCTTTAGCAGGTTTGTCTGACAACAGCTCTTACAGGGGAAAAAAAGCATGTTACCTCTACACAGAAAGCACCTATCTGTTTTTTCTTTGTCAGGCATTTAGGCTGCATCCAAGAGGTGTAAGAAAAGACTTTGGTAAGTCAGAGAGACATTGCTGGTCAAGTTAAAGAAAATTCAAGCCTGATCTTTAGTCAGTTTAAACTTATTTGACACAATTCTGATAATACAGAAGGTGCTTATAACTCCCAACTAGATGTCTGCTGAGTTCATAACCCTTGAGATCTTTAAGTGGGGAATCACTGCTTGTGAATTTTAACTAAGATAAATAAGATGTACTGGAAAGAAAAACGAGCTTGAAACTGCTGAACTATTTTTGCAACATGTTCATCTGTCAGAATGTCCACTTACAGTGTGTCTGTGAGGCTGCAGGGCTGCCACTTCCACTCAATCTTTGGGTCAGGATTCCCGCTAGTGGTGCACTGGATTTTCTGTTTGCTTCTTAATTCCACCCGCACAATCTTGTCAAAATCAGTTTCCTTTTCATAGATTTTGGGTCTCTCTAAAGGAAAAAAAACCAGCAACAAGATAAATGCAAATGAGCAAATTTACATCTGTGGTCATTGTCCTGTTTCCATCAAAGGTTTTGAAACTTGTCACTATGATCACTGAGTGATGATTTAGTAAGGCTACCGCAGTTGTAGGGAAATTACTAGCAGTACTGAAAGTGTACATTTGCAGAAACATGGGTATTAGTTGTGGTGTTTCAGAAAATACATTGAAATGCTACCACATTCATCCTAATTGCTTTCAAATGTTGTTGTGGACCTGCTATACTTCTGGGAACTTTATGCCATGAAACATCTATTGGTCAGGGACTGCAGGATCAGACTGTTAGTCTATGTACTGTGGGCAAAATAGCATTCAGCTTCTGATGTCACCTCCTGAGAGGAACCTTATCAAACAGCTGCTGCTCTGCAATGCTGTTACCATTGTGCAGGTTCTCCCCAGGGTTTTTGAAAAAATACATCTTTTTGATCTGAAAACTTTGCTTTCCGTTTCTGTTTATGTGTAATGTGCACTGGATGAAGGAGCGAAGAAAGCAAGGAAGAAGTGGTAGGGAGAAAACACTTGTAGAGTAATGCCAAGAAATTCTCACCACCAACAAAACCATTAAAAATGTCACTGCATTATTCACATCTGGTGGGGTTGCAAGATCACACCCTTGGACTAGAAATCTCTCAAGAACTAACTTTTGTGTGACACTTTCAGGGCTGGTTGTTGCCAGCAGGAAAGAAATGCTTTGTCCCATCTACTTCCAGCTCCCACGGGAACATGTGAAAATGAGAAATAATGCTAAAAAATCCCCAAAGTGAACTGAACTTTTCCTAACCTCAGAGAGGGTGGGTTTGAGTTTGGGGTGAAAGCAGAATCTCTTCCCTTAAGCAGACAGCTCTGCCCATCCCTAGCCATATCTCTTTGTCTGCTTCTCATAACAGGAAATCAAACAGATTTATTGGTCAGGGTCCCTCTGTGGAACACCTCTGTGCAGCCAAGTGTGGCTGCTTTACACTGAGAGCTTTTGACAAGTTGGGAAGTGAATGTAGATTAGATTTCTATTTTTCAGGTTAACTTATTTTTTCTGCTGTCAAGGAGGCCCCAGATATGTAAATATGAGCTACTGCCCACCTCATCAATCTTGAGCCCTTTCTTTCTTTTTTTCCCTTCCAGCCCTCTACTCGTATGAGAGGACTGACCAGGCTGATCCCATGTCTTGGTGGGATCCTCACTTTCCATTTCTCATGGCTGCCAGGTCAGACTCTGAAAGGTCTTCTGACCTCACCATTGCCTGAAAATACATCAGCATTTCCTTCTTCACCACATGAAAGGAGTATTGACTGTAGCCATATCCTGACTCCCATGCTATGTAAAAAATTAGCTGCTTTAAAGAACCCTCATTAGGTCCTGATTAACATTTCACTTGAAGAATCCAAATGACAACTTTTGCTTTTGTGTTCCCTTTTGCTTTTTTGATCCCTTTGGTTGAGTGTTGTTTTCCCATCTGCCTACAGATGATGTTCTATCATCTTGCTCCTTTGTCCCTTCAGAGGGGGACAGGTATTGTCTTTTTGTGGAGAAGATGAAGAAGGGAGCAGATGGGAGAGTACTTCAGACTGTGGTTAGGGTCTCTCAAACTCACATCCTCATCTATTACATGGACACAGGGTTTCCTGCACCACATCACTCTGGGTTATGCAATGTATCACTGGTCAAGTGCTTTGAGAGTTGTGAGCAATTCACAGGAAAAATTAGTGGGACTTATGTTGAATTTCCTTGTAACTGGCATCTAATTTCCCATCAGTAAACTATTCTGATTATAAAAATAATTTTGTAAAACTCGCTGGAGAGAGAAGCACATTTTTCATTATCTTGGACATTTTTCTTTTCAGTCTCAAATCCTGTGTTCAGTGTATCTGGACTGACCTCAAAAGCATGATTTTCACTTGAAGAAAGAGACTCTATGAAAGGTTACTCAAGTATTATGTGAGAAGTTACTCAAGTGTTATGTTTTCTGGGCTGTAAGAACAAAGCTTTACACACTTGGGGAGGGAGACAGTATGTTTGTGTGGTTTTGTATGTGTGAAAGAGAATGGGGGGACAAGGTTTAATTAGTGTCTTTTAATAGTAAATTTTTCTATACCCTTGGTGAAATGATGAACATGTTGACTGTCATTTAAATTATCCTTCTTAAAAAAAAAATAAAAATTTGATCTAATTCAAATAAGAACATACATGAGTGACGAATGATTTCTTAATTCCACAATTACTTTACTGCATGGCACTATTAAATATTACTTGAAACCTAAAATGAGTCAAAATGATTCATCAATTGAAATAATTATTATTTATGAGTCTTAAGCAATTATTTTCTTAAAACTTGAGGGGCTAGCTAAAAATGCCTCCCCATCATTTCTTTCACAGTGCCTTATAACACAGTTAGTGTGGAGTCGTAGCAAATTAAGGGCATGACACTCAGAAATTGAAGCAATTTTAATAAGTTTCTCTCTTTTTCCCTGCAAAGGTTGTAATGGTGGTAGGTGTCATTCTGCAAATGACTCTTTAACTGCGGTGCTACCCCAGCAGGGGCAAGGCCCTTCCACAGTTTTGAATGCCCCAACTTTGTGCTTGTAAGGGTGTTGGCACTGGCCCCAGTGCACTGCAGGTTTGCGATATGGAATGTGGAGTACTCATACTTTCCAAACCTCTGTACACTGTCATGGCCATTTTACCTCTCACTGTGCCCCTGAAGGCAACCAAAGCTTTTCCATTCACTTTGCTGGCTGCTGGGCCAAATCCTATTTACAGAAGTTGCATCCATCAGTGATGGAAACAAGTTATCTGGCTTCTGTGGTGGGTACTGGCCTTTCAGATTTGCTCAGACTACAACTAGATAGTTGGCTCAGTGGGTTGACATCTGCAGCAGTCTCACCTGCAGAAAAGCTCTCCACATTGGTGTGATGAGGAGTTTTTAGCCTGAAGCCAGCGCTTACCTAAGGTACACCTCATAGCATATTTCTCAGATAACTCTCTCCCTCCTCCAAACAATGCTTTGCTTTCTCTTTCATGTTTGCTTACTAAGCAGCATGGTGGATCATGCACAAAATTATTTATCTTTGCTTGTGTTTAGGTGTGAGGTAAGGTTTAGAGTACAAATCCATTTGTAAGCACTGCCAAAATCCAAGTATATTTCTGGTTGCACCTTAAATTATGCGTCTAGTGGATTCCATCAACATACATACATTTGCATATGTATTGCTGGTTTTTAAACATGCAAAAAAACCCCAAACTGCTGGGAATGGAGAGCTTTAGCAGGCCTTGAACTAATGGCAGTACAAAAGTTGGGTAAACAAGCAAGCTGCCTCTGCACAGACCCTGCAATACACCTTACCTTCTCCAGCAAGTGCCGTGCAGAGTCCTCCTTTCTCCTTGAAGCTCTTGTGTGGAGAGCCTGACCTAGAGCACCCTCTGCTATCCTAGTCTTGGGCTCACTGAACACCCTCCTGTAGAGCCTTGTTCCCAGCCTGCAGTCCTGCCAGCTACAGTAGTGCTGAACTTCAAGAGATGATCTTTAAATACACTTCATTCCTGGCCTGAAGTATCCCTCGCTATCCCACTTCTTGCTTCCCACTCCCTCCCACACCAAGATCTGCCTGCTTACTTTCAGCCTCCACCTCCCATCCCTGGGCCATTGCCCTCCCCAGGCTGAGGTTTCTCAAGCAGAAGCCAAACAAACCTTAAAAGCTTTCTCGTCTCTGGCTGCGTTTGGAACACACAATGTTCAGATGGCTTTAAATGTGTCAAAATAAATGGGTTTTCATCCTCTCTGGCTTAAAGTGTGATTGTATCCCCAACTCGCTTTGCAGAGGTGCAATTGCTGGTGTGAGAGCTGACCTGAATAACTAAAGACTTTGCTGCTGTTGCTGCTGCACTGTGAAATGCAATCAAAAAGCAGTTCTGCTTACAGTAAATTCCAAATTGATCAGCAGTATGCAAATTCCACCTTACTTTCTAATGTTATCTTTAGTCTGTGGCATTAGGGCCAAATAATACTTATAAGGATTAGGACATTAACCCTCTAGCATTACCCTTTCTGCAAGAGATTCTTCTATTTCTAAATTCATTGCAGATGTTATTATGGGGTTGTACACATGTCACCCAAAGAAGCATCCAAATACAGAGGACAACACATAGGAAGTTTCCCTGCCTTTTTTAAAGAAACTTTGGTTTATTTTCAGTGACCTCTGACTGAACTGCTGTTAATGTACCTTCCTCACTACCATTTAAACTGGGTTTCAAAAAATCTTTTCACATTAAGAACACCATCATAGAGTGGTCCAGTGAAGGATTTAGTCTCAACCTTATGTACTTTGCTGGACAGGGGGCTTCATTAAAAATATTGATAGAGTGGCAACTTGTTTTCTATTTATCCTTTCTGTTTCCCAAAAGCTATAATAATTTGCACTTTAGAGTCTTTCATCTGATGTTTGTACAGTACTTAATGGAAATATAAGCTCTGCAAGTGAGTTAGGTGAATATTCTGTAAAGTATATAGGAAATGCAGTAATGCAAGTTTGCAGTAGTCAAATAGTATGGGGAAAGAGGATTAAATTTCCCCCAAAGTAAAAACATTTTGTCTATGTTCAGCTTACAAGTGATCTTTTTTTTTTGGTGTGTGTGTGGAGGTTTTTTTTCTTTTTGTTGAAAGGAAAGAAAGAAAAAATGAGTTAAATGACCTGAAAACAAAACCTTTGTTTCAGGCTGAACAGAACATTGTTTGACCCCAGCTGATTTTGTCTCGTTGGGTTCTTTGTTTCATTCTTTTTGCTTTTTTGTTTTATTTTGCGCAGCACTACACACAAGGCTGCAGTGAAATGGGTGCATGGCATTGTCCTCACAGTACTTCTGAGGAAGCAGATGCCAAGATGAAATGAGTGGCCAAAATCTCTCCATGAGTCAATACCGTGCCCAGGAATAAAATTAGGGTCACCAATTATCAGTCGC